ATGTATATATATATATAATATATCTGTCTCACTTAGTCTTACACCCACCCATCTGTGTCGCACATACATTATCTCCTTCCATGAATCCATGGTGTGCTCTTGCTGAGAATCCAGTCTATATACCAAGAGATAATCACACAAGAATCATGAGCCAGTCATATGACACCTATGACATAATTCATCAACAAATGCCTTATTGGTATCGAGATGTCTGGCATACGAAGCTAAATACTGTATGAGATCCTGCAGAGACGGTGCTTACAGAAGAGTTGACCAGCCCTGTGCACTAAACTGTGCGCTGAATTGAGAAATTTACCTTACTAAGACTCAAGAGACACCACTGTAACTCGCAGCTACATACTAGTCTACATAACTACATGTCAGAGTAATGGATTTGAAAACTCACAGATTTTGCTAATCCCCTAAGTGCTCATCGGTGCATAAAACAATTGCAAGAAGCTTTGGCCATCGCCATCCAACCTCCATACTCTTTAGATTTTCCCCCATCCTATTATCCCCCATCCTGCGAGAAACTTGAAAACAGGCTAAGAAAACTTGAAGGCACCCAATATTGCTGCCACTTCGTCATTGTAAGAATGACCTTTCAATGCCACATGAACAACATCTGGATAGAGAAGCAAGTCAAAACGTGTGCACATACAACACACACTGTATTTTCCATATGTAGACTGTAAAGTTTCTGTAAACACAGAATATTGAGAATGGCCATTGTGAATTCATTAGGAGCAGAATAGGAATAAGAAAAACTGCAGTAAAATACAGTCTTACCTGTTAACATATATTGCTAGTTAAATCAGCCTGAAAATTACTAATCATTTATGCAGTTACAAGGTATAAAGGCAAAAATGAACAGAAATCTACCGTGGACTACGATTAACAAAATGCATTCGAAAGTGGTGCCAGAAACAAAAGTGCATCTGTTTGTGTGCACTATGAAATTGTCAATTAAGTTTTACCCTAGGTAATTTCTCCATCCACTGCTTTTTTCTCTTAGAATCCTATGAAATTGTCCATTAAGTTTTACTCTAGATAATTTCTCCATTCACTGATTTTTCGCTTAGAATCCTCCAACTTGCCAATGTCTGTATTTGTCCGTCACTCCACCAGCTTCTATCATGTTTATATAGTGACATTTACTACTAAATCTACAGGTATTGTAGGTAAACAATAAATTTGGCATTATTACTGTGGCTACTTAAATGATCTATCCAGTGGTAGTCCCTGGCACTCTTCTGTAAGTCCTGTGACATCAACATAGATATCAAAAGTTAATAAGAATTTGTTACTGATATTTTGGTGGTATAACAATAGAGAAACTTTGCTATAGCCACTTGCTTATTGAGCAAGGAACAATGATAAGTACTGAAACGGCTGATAAAATATGAGAACACAATACTGTAAAGCGAGGATTTCATGTTTTTACCAACGGTTTTCATATTTTCTCAACTGTTCTGATACTTACCGATACTCCTTGAATAACACCAAGTGGGATCGTTTGAAATTTATACAATCACTAATCTCAAGACAGCAATCACACAGTTGCTGTCCATTTACTGTTTTATAGCCTATAACAGCAGAAACTCAATATAATTTTTATGCTGAACTAACCATAATTATGTACGCTGATAGGTGAGACTAAATTTGTCTAAATTTATTCATTTCTCGATTTATTTGTGAGATGATCCTTTTAACAGTCAGCAGCATACTATTAAAACGTTGATCGCCTTCCTGCATCAACAGATTTCATGTCCCTGGTAAAGTTGAATGTGCAATTACATCTTACAGGATCTTAAGCATTAAAGTGATTACGTCACCGTAAACAGTAAAAAATAAAAAATAAATTTCCACTTTTTCACAAAATATAAGTAATTCTGTTCACTTTTTATGGTTAAATTGCTGCATTATACTTCTTATTTTACTATATTGTTCGATGTGAACATACACTTGTGGCGCATACATAGCCCATAGCAAGCAATTAATGTCAGGAACACTAATATCAAATCGACCAGGTTTTTTGGATTTTTAACTAGTTGAGAAACAATATTATCAGGTAAGAATTTGACGATACGCTTAGTCCCTTTAGTTCTACCATGTAGAAAATTCGTGACGTAGTCAATTTAATGTTTACTTTAATAAGAAATGACTGCACAGCAAAATAGAGTTGAACTAAGAGTTTAAACGACTAGCCAAATTTTAAATGCTATTTTCTTATTTGATTCTGTTTGTAGATAATAAGAGCTCTCTGGTGCAAGACTGTATAACCAAGTATCATACATACTATGATAGCTTTATGGTGACAGTCACACCAAGATCTTCAAAATCGTCACTACAAAATTGCCTCGACCACTATTTGCCAATACATGCATCGATTGTCTGCATGCATATTTGAGAACATTTCCCTCTTCATTAGGAATCTATCTAACTTCTGCAAATTGTAACAAAATACGACCACACATTTGCCATTTATATTCTGGAATGGGATTAGCCTACATCTAGTGATTTTATAAGATACATATATATATATTTAGCCTCTCAAAAGAAACAAAAACAGTAAGTGCAGAGAAATTGCAATACTTCTAGTGCTCTAACATACTTAAAATGATAATTGGACCTACAGTAAGCATACCAATAACAGTACTAATTACTTACACGCATTTATAAATGCCCTATATGTACTTACTCAGTAGGAAAAGCTGGGTCATATTCTTCAGCCATAGCTAATGAATGAATGATTCAATCAGTCATTCAGGGTCTAACAGGTCAGTTACTCAGTCCTCCTTCAGTTGGTAGGAAGGTTCCTTTCTGGGCAACCAGGCTCGCCAGTGGTAGCTCCCGTTACCACGTACGGGAATCAGAGTTCAAAGTTCAATGCTGCTCAGTCTATATGAGTCTAAAGTCACATGTATCTGAGACCTGGCGAGGAAAGAGTTTAAATTTAACTGAAATAACATTAGCACATGGAAGCACTCCCAATATACATACCAATCAGCATCTTCACACAAAGCACAGTCTACGCGACACTGCAAGAAATTCTTTACTGTCTTATTCACAACTTAAAGCCGCAATATGCGCATCCAAACTCTAATTTCTCCAGTACTAGACTAGCAAATACTTCGTGTCAACAGTCATGCATAATCACACTACCTTATGACAAAATAAACTCTAGTTCCTCCCATTTTACTGCGCGTTTGATTAAAACCCACAAGAAAGAGGTGCGAAATGTGGCAATCTGGCACCAACGCCGAATTGTTTGCCAAACAATTTAGCCCTGAATCGGTTAGGTGACGTCACATGTTGCTACGGGTTGCACCCGCTGTACGGTTGCTTGGCAGAGCAACGCGAACGTGTCAACAACATTGGAGAATTTGAACAACATTGGAGGTATTTTCAAATACCTTTTATAAGACAACGTGCAGTGAAATGGGAAGAACTAGAGTTTATTTTGTCATAAGGTAGTATGATTATGCATGACACGAAGTATTTGCTAGTCTAGTACTGGAGAAATTAGCGTTTGGATGCGCATATTGCGGCTTTAAACTTGGAATTAATTTGTCGCTACATGTGTGGAAAATTTTATTATATGTTGGTAGTGACAGCAACATTATCGGTTAATTATAATTTAGTTTGCTTATTTATTTTTGATTACTATTTTTTTTTACTTTAAATTTTGCATGAAATTTAGGACTTGCAGAAGGTTTGATATATATAGTAAAGCTGGGTTTACACTTCTGACTTTATGTTGTCAAATTGGCGAGTTAGACCAATTTCGCAATTCGGCAACATTGAGTGGCGAAAATAGAACAAGTTCTAATCTCCCAACTAGTTGCTATCGGCCAGTTGCTCGGGCAACTTTTGCGTTTACACTGACGATTATCGGTTGCATAGTTGCGAAATTGGTCCAATTCACCAATTTGACAACATAAATTCGGTAGTGTAAACCCAGCTTAAGAGTTTAGGTTCGCAATTACCAACACTGACGACATTCACAAACACACACAGGGTGCAAAATTAACGGGAGTCCGGAGTCAAATACTCCCTGATTTGACATATGCAGGAGTCCATGTGACTCCCTGAAAATTCTGCCATACTAACTAGCCTCGCGGAATTAGCAAATTTTTGCAGCTAATATCCAAAGAAAATTTGGCAGACGTGCAACCACATGAATTTTAAAAATAAGCACATGCGTTATTGTTAATATCATTAATTTTGAACCCAAGACTCCGAACTCCCTCATTTTGCTGCGAACTCCCTCTTTTTGAGGGTAGGGGTCCAGTCCGTTGGACTCCCGTGTTTAAAAGTTAATTTCTACCACTGCACACAAATCATATGCTGAGGGAGGGCGCCGAACAGTTATAGCAGGCTTTTAGAAACACACATATAATTATGTCAATTCAACCCTTTACCAAAGGTTAAAAAATCAACAATATTATTTGTACAATTCTGGCAATGTTGGTAATACAGTTATCAACATTGTCACAAATGTACAAATAATGTTGTTGAATTTTTTTTTCACTGCCGATGAAGTGCAGTATTGACAGCTTTTTAATGTCTTTTATGGCTATAATCACAAATAAACCCAAATTTAGCAGTATTTAGAGTTGACTAATTGTTAATCTACAGCACATAAAGTTGAAAGCTTAAATATTAATGAAAAATAACTAAAAACCTTTTTTTTAATTTGCCAGTTTCTCACGAATAACTCCGATGCTTGTGCTGCCTCTCGCTTGGCGTAATAATGCAAGATGCATTTTGAAGTTTATTTTCATGCTTCGGACTGGGACCTGATAATTAAAGTGATTAAAACTCATATTTAGCATAAATTTATGCAGTACTGATTAATATTGTAAAAGCTGAAATATTACAACTCCTTTATTATTTTAATGATTAAAAATTATGTGCAAAAAGATACAGAAATAACCTTAGACACATTCATTACACCATCACTACATAATGCAGCACAAGCAATAATGAATGCTATCAAACAGTAACATCGATAAACATCCATGATCCCATCAGTATAAAACTATTTTTTTAATTAATAAAAAACGAAAACTGGTAATATGGAAAAACCTGATTTAACATAAAATATCAAAGAAAGCGATGTTAGCATTCACCCAAAAAAGCCATTTGTAGAATGTACAACAGAAGAATGTTCAGGGTGCGAAATTAACGAGAGTCCGGAGTCAAATACTCGGGACCTGATTTACTGTCGGACTCCCCAATTTGACATATGCAATATGTCCGTGTGACTCCCTGAAAATTCTGCTATACTAATTAGTTTGTTCCAGAGAACGGCCTCACGAAACTACCGTATTTTTCAGCATATGTCCAAAGAAAATTTGGCAGATGTGCAACAGCATGAATCTTCAAAATAGGCACATGCGTTATTGTTAATATCTTTAGTTTTGAACTTCAGACTGCGGACTCCCTCATTTTGCTGCAAACTCCCTCTTTTTGACGGCAATCCCTTGTTCAAAAGTTCATTTCTACCCCTGAAAGTTGTTAATTATTTCAACTCCTGAAAGATAGCCAGAACAAAGATATTGTATTATTGAATTTACAGTCAAGCTAGTCAATTGTTTTAACTAAAATATTCCTATGGAGTGAGTCAATTAATTATATTGTATTTGTTATTGGACTTTAGTTTCAAAACGGCTTAGATCCTTGTTTTCCAGTTAAATATTAATTAACTCTAATAGATAATTAAATAGTGAAGGATTTCTGAAAACCTGTTATTTATGACTTATGCCTCATAATTACTCACCAATGTAACAATTATTTAAATTGATAAACTACATGTCAAATAATTGTTTTGTCATTTTCTCTCAATTCTCCAAAATGGACATAAGCAGTTTTGCAAATAAGAAAAAAATAATAACTTTCATTAAATTCCCATTATATATTTTTCTCTTGAAGCATCTCTCTTGAGTGGCATGCCGGCGACCATACAATCATCATCAGCTCCAAGATTACCAGGCCACTATTATTATTAATTGTAATTTTACTCAAAGTTTATGTAAAACAATCATGTAAATTCATTGTAATATACCACAAGTTACATTTCATATTTTATCTTATATAAATATTCAAGTACTTTGATTAATTATTTAAATTGCTAAATCTCAGTCAGTAGATAACGCCAATTAACTTAAAAAATAGTTATCACGCTCACAGTAGTTAGTGGCCTATGATACTTCAGACACTGAGATAGTACACTTAATATCTCCACCAACAACAAGTTCGGATATTGGAGAGACTTTTATGAGTCTCTAGTGGGGAGATAAAACCTACTCTGCCACCCTACTTTAAGGTTGTTCATGGCATAGGGAAGGTATAGCACCTGTTCACCATTCTTCAGTATGGTAATCACAACTTCACATTATCAGTGGTTTGGGCTACAATTAAAAAAATATTTGTTTGCCCTCACCAGACCCAGGGTGAAAAGTTTGGGTAGGTAGGTGGGGTTTTTTCTTTTTTTTTGAGGGAGGTCTTTTTACAAATTCAGCATGGTGTCTACATGCTCGGGTGTGCTTGTGTGCAAATACCTTTTATGTTCAATGTTTGTTTTGCTTGGTACATATAACGTATTGCCTACAGATTTATATAATTTAAACTGATAAAATTTGTAAAAAAAAAAGAATGGGAGAGATCAATAAAATTTGTTGAGTCGGCCCCTTTTTGGCAGGTCGGTCGGGTGAGGGCAAATAAACAATATTTTTATTATGGCCTTGGCTACAGAATAGTGCCTAATAGCTGATATCATACTGTGTGAGTAACTTAACCCATTTGTAAATTTTGGACACTGTTATTTTGGTAAAACTACTTCATAAGGCAGTTTGAATAAAATATGGTGGCCAAGCTGAAGAACATACAGCCAATTGTGAAAATAAGGTGAACATCTCGTTTCTTATGACTGCTTGCCTCACGCACTGATTTTGGAGAAGCTAAAAGCATATGTGGACAACAGTGCTGTAAATTTTATACAAAGCTATTTGACAGATCACAAACAATGTGTACGCGTGGGTAATCGTTGCAGTGACTTCCTATACCTACAAAAAGGAATACCGTAGGGATCCATACTAGGTCCATACTGATATTTAACATATTTATAAATGATATATTTTATTTTATGAATGACGCCAGTTTATGTAACTACGCAGATGACAATACCATCTCCTACTCTGTGAGGCGGAGGTGCTGATCGATTGGTTTTCCAAAAATCAAATGCAGGCAAACCCTGCCAAGTTTCAGGGCATTGCAATTGGGAAAAAAACCTATGATCGGTGCCCCCACTTCACTGTCGGGGGGATGGATATTAAATGCACTGATGAAGTAACATTGCTGGGTGTGACCATTGATTTTAAACTCAACTTTGGTGGGCACATTTCAAAGCTTTGTCAAAAGGTGGCTAGGCAAATCAATGCACTGAAACGTATCGGACGGCATCTGCCTGTTAGTTGCAGGAAAATAATATATTCGTCTTTTATCAGATCCAATTTTAACTTTTGTACTATTATATGGCACTTCTGTGACAAAGCAAATGAGAAAAAGCTAGAAAAGCTCAATTATAGAGCATTAAAATTTGTGTATAATGACTTCAGCAGTGACTATGACAGCTTACTAGCAAGAAACAAATCAGTCAGTCTCAAACTACAAAGACAAAAGCTCATAGCCATTAAAGTTTTAAAAATTCTCACTAAAGATCGGCCTGTATACCTCCACAATCTTGTTGTAAAGAACGAGTCCAGATATAGTATTAATTACCGTGTACACACCCCACGTTTCGAAAGGGCCACTTGTGGTAAGAAAAGCATAAAGTATGAAGGAGCTAGAATATGGAACGATTTGCCGAAATGCATGTACGTCAGAGTGAGAACTTCAACGTGTGAAGGCTACTCGAAACGTGGGGTGGGTACAGGTGCAGATGCTCAATGTGCCGCTAATTGACATGTGATATATTGATATATTGTTTTTAAAGGCAATTCAGCCAATTATGTGATAGTAACACTGCAGTTACGCAGTTTTTATCATGTTTTAATCAATATCTATTTACTCTTGTTTGATATCGGTGCAAAACCTCTTAGCTTATGTTAATAATGTTCATTATATACCGATGAAAATAAATTTTACTTTACTTGAACTTCAAATTGTATAAAATTGTAAATAGAAAACTTGAAACTGAATGAAAAGCCACATGACGTCAATTACTGACAACCACAGACAGGCACTTGGGCCGTCTTAAAAATAAAATGATAGTAAATATAAACAAATTGATTTTACTACAAAAGTTTTAATGTTTTTTTACTCTCTATCACCTAATAATTCCAGCTATATGTCATTCAAACATTCCTCTACAACACAATCCCACCACACGCTACTGTGCACAAACTCACAGAAAGATAACGAGTTTCTGGCATCGCCTGCTTGTGGTAAGACTATCTGTTGCAGAGGAGCATTGGAACAAAATTTATGTAGAATTATTACTCGACAGAGAATACATAAAGATTAAGGCTTTGGCAGTAAATACAATTTGTGTTTATTTACCCTAATTTTATTATTAAAACGGCACAAGTGCCCATCAGCGCCTACTGAGCTACTCTGCTCAATGAAACAGATCTGGTGGCTGTGCAACTCTGTAACGGAAAAGCACGAAGGCTGGAGTATTGAATTAAAATACACAATAGTCAATACCAGAACGGATAAGAGCTCACTGCACGGAGCCCATAGTCACACCAAGACCGTCAGACATTTCATTACTTTTGTTTTGCGACTAGCCTAGAGGCTAGAATTCGGAAATACTGATGGCAATGGCAATTACTAATGCCAGATTAGATCACAATATAGTATTATATACTGATTCTATTTAGCATTCATTTAATAAAATTCTTAATTACTAAGAATTTACGTTGACAATAGTACACACCTTACACCAATTATGTCAAAAGCTTTCTTTTTCTATCCCATAGTTGTAGCTTTAAAGTCGCAGCAATCAGAAGCAAATCCCTATCATAGCGATGTCGATTCGTAGATGGCTAGGCCGCTAGAGGAACAAGTGAGCAGCATTTTGTGTTTATGTTTTATTTTCTAATAATTTTTAATAGTTTTGTAAAATGTATGTCTATGTAACCAATCATATTTATTATGCACAATGTACGTAGTCTGTTTAAAATAGATCAAGCTATAACTGAGAACGGGATAAAAAAACCAATGTAACGTCAGCTCTGACGTCACTAACTGCGTCATCCCTTCTACCATTGCTGGAAATATAACTCGAAACTTTCTTACTGGTATTGTAGGAAATCTGTCATCATCCGCAGGAATACTTGAAAACGACATCAAGTTTACACATAACTTAATAAGGGTCATCTTAGGAGTTTGCATGTCCGAAATTCAGAACCTCTTCACTTTTGGTAAGCACATATTTTAGATGTTAATTTTGCGTCTCCTATTTATGCGTTTGTGTGCAAATGGTGTATTTTGTTTGCTTACGTACTGCCAATTTTCAGACGTTTTACAGTTTCATTTGCCAGTGTTGTGACCCGTAGTTAAATATGTGATCTTTTTCTCTTTCTTTTTTATATCGACTTGGTTTAATACGCAGAGTAACGCATCACGTAGGAGTGTCAATGTATTGTATACATATCAATGTAGGAAGTACAGTAAACACCCGCATAAAAGAACCCGTGATTTTCTGTTTCAGGCTGAAGTGATTCTTATATATATGATACATAGTGAGAAATCAGCCTGAAGAGGTTCTTAATGAGGTTCTTAATTTAGGGGGGGGGATATTGTGCACATTATCGTACTATACAATACTGTATAGTTTCAGACAGGCCTCGAATTAAGTGACGAGAGGGGCAAGGCAATTTTTTTGGGGCATGTGAGAAATTGCCTTGAATTTTCTCTAAAATGGATGGGCACCGAGGCAATTTTAAAAGGCATCTCTCACAATTTGAGAAGGGCACCAAGGCGCACCTTTGTAAAATAAAAGAAAACTCACAACAAATTAATACATCAACCTCTGCTAATGGAAGTACAGTAACAGGGTTCAACGTTAACTTTTTATTTCACCAGACCATCGGGCTAGTAACTGAGGAAAACTACTAGCCCTGACCTAACTTTCACTAGCCCAGACCCAGACCATTGTTATGAAAAACTTTGTGTCTTCGTATGAATTCTACTAAAATTTCTCTAAATTTATTGCACTTAGCAAGCTACACACCATACAGATCACAGCTGGCCATTCTTGCGCGAGCGTCGTTTCCCGCGCTTTGAATCGCGTGCGGGCCCAGTCCATGTGCAGCATTTAAATATTCGTGTTCTATACAGGCGCACGATTTATCGATCGTCTACTGGCAGCGGTTGGCAGCAAGCCACGTTTACGGTTATTGGTTTTGCCGAAGGGTAGACTGGTATCCGGCCTCACGCTCTGCTAGACAATGTACACGCTCTGCGACAAACAGTGCGGCCGCGAACCAGTCTAGACAGAGGCACCGACGGCAATTACAGAAAAGGGCAAGGCAGGTCACTGCCGTCGGTCGGGTTGGATTTTCAGGGGCAGTACAGCGATTGATAGGGTCGGTGCCGTCGGTTAATTCGAGCCCTGGTTTCAGAAATTATTCACACCATCCTCTCCCTCAATCCTCTGACATATCGTCAAAATCAAGCCCCAACATTTACTGGAAAATGAGGCAAAATACCCCCTGGAAAATCCAATCCTCCTGTGAGGAGGTATTAATATTATCTGGAACTACATGTTGTTGGTTTTCAATGGTGTAGCACACATACTTGCATTGCCCCAGTTTGCTCTAATTTTGGGTATTTTTTTTATATATTATAAGAACCTGTTTAATTTATCAGGCTGAAGAGGTTCTTATATAATAGGTGCAGCGGCATAACATTACATAAGGCGCGCGCGCTTGTTGGCAGTGACGTCGGGCAATGGGCGGGTTTGCGCTATTTTGCATGAAATTGTGTTGGTTACGGTACCTCGTAATTTCTCAGAATATTTCAAGGTGCATGGAACATTTTACCAATTTATTGGTGGCAGTAAGTACTAACAGTAGATATTTCACATATGTTCACCCATTTTTCACACAGGCGGTCGATCATTGTGAAAAATAGAAAACCGCTGATTTCTCTGTTCCAATTTCTGACTTAGTAGTCGATGACATTGTATAAATGGATATTTCTCTGTGATTACAACTCGGAATAATTTAATTTTACACTCGTTTTAATGGTAACATATTGCTGTAAAAAAAGCGCATCAGGGATTGTTATTAAGTGCCGTATTTCATGCGTTATGTTTCTTTATTTGCTAAAATTTTAAATTCAAACGTGCGACTTGAATTTAAGGCAGTTTTTTTCATTTTTCTCGGTAAATATGAAACTTAACGAAAAATCCTGATGCGCTATTTTGGTACATATTGTGCTTAACATGTGGCGAAAATTTTGTATCCTCACTCTTTCTGTTAATTGAGAAATATCCAAAATACCATTTTTACATAAAAATTCAAAATTTGTGTGGTAACATAATTAGGTGCTGGAAATTTCAGGAAATTTTTTGCCTTGAGCATAGATATATATATCTCCTCAAGAGCGTATAAAGAAGGAGAGCATACAACGGTAAAATGCTGAAACCATGTTGCAGTATTAGTCTAATTAATAAACTTTTCCCGTTTTATTTTGACGATTCTTTGCAGTATTATTGATCAGCTGTCCTACCTTGTTATGAATATAAAACAAACCGCATGTCCCTACGATGCCCCTACGCTGAGATAATGAGCGAACACTGACTCGACATCAGTCAGTACTGCAATCGACTCTCGTTTTGTGCACTGTATGTTGCTTCCGGTCGCTGCTGTGTAGCGCTGACTCGATACGTTATTACTACATCGTTACTACATCCAGCGTAAGGGGCGGGTCATCACCATGACGATAAATAACGACGTTTTTGTGTAGTAATGGCTGCGTCAATGACTGGAAATGCGAGAAAAGATAGTAGAAGGAAAATAAATTTCATTGTCAATGTCAATGAATGACGGAAACACGCGAGGTTTCCCGAAGCTATCGCCAGAACGAGAGTCGATCGCAGTACTGACTGATGTCGAATCGGTGTTCGGTGAAAATACCAGATTTTCACCCCTCATCATCTCAGCGTAGGGGCATCGTAGGGACATGCGGTTTGTTTTATATTAACAAGGTAGGACAGCTGAGCTGATCAATAATACTGCAAAGAATCGTCGAAATAAAACGGGGAAATGGTTTCAGCATTTTACCGTTGTACGCTCTCCTTCTTTATAGTTATACGCTCTTGATCTCCTCTATAAATAAACCAAGTGATTGATTCGATTCATTCGTCAATAAACGTTTAATCTTCATTAGAGCAATACCCGTGAAAAGGGTGGAGAGTATCCTTAACACGTGCAACGCTGCCGGTGTTAACAATGCACCTACCGCTCTGCGCTGGAATTTTCGCGTTTTTAATGCATTTTCACTTGTTGATTTACCACATTTCCTTTACAGGAAAGCTAACCAAACTGACACATTTACTCTGCATGAGTGTTATCTCACCCTTACACGTTCAAATAGTATGAAAATCGTTCCCCTTCATAATAATATATTGATATGAAAACGGGGCAAAAACGGATATTTCGTGCATTTTCGTCTCAAATGCCACCGCACCGGTGGATTTTCGCGAGTTTGTTATGATATCAGTCGACAGTATCAGGGTTCTCCCCAGGATGAAATTCAAACAGGGGAAGGGGGAGGGGGAGGGGGGTGGAAAAACTAGCGGGGTCCGGGGGGGTGTGTTTTTTTTACCGTACCACTAATTAATGCGTAAAATCGCCACCACACCATAGACGGTATTTGGGGTTCTTGTATATATAAGATAGCCGAGTCTGTGTACAGTTAGTGTTGTGTGTGGGACAGGTTAGCTGTTTGTACTTGTGTATTGTGACTATTGTCTGCAGTGCATGCGTGTCACGGTAAAAATACACGTGCCGGGTGTCCTGGTCGAATGGGAATTCTTGACGATCGATTCCCGCGCTGGCAAACTTTTATTGTGTTGGGATTTAATCGGGGCGGAGGTAATTTAAACGGGGCGGGACGATTGAAACAGGGGGGAGTTTTCCCAAACGGGGCGCGCGCGCCCCGTTTGCGCAACGTAGGGAGAACCCTGAGTATACTATTTTTCCCGGTAAGAAATGTGACAACACTTACACATATGTGAGGTATGAACCTTGTTTTGTGTTTCTACATGCAAAAATTCCTCAAAATTTTATATACTACACCGTTATTATATTATATACCGTTAGGAAACCGGTAAACAAACCTTGTTTCGATCTACGCCTTCTAGGCCTACCGCAGTCTACCTTGAGTCTCAAAACTCCTAATTTCACGTTCGAATCAACGGTAAAGCAATGTATTCTTTAGTTCATGTAAGACTGGAGTAATATAGACTGTCCCTGTTTAATTTCTAGGTAGGTAGTGCCTGCCATCTGTTGGAAATCAGAGTAACAAAAACCAATAATCTATCCACGAGCTGACTCGTGGATCCGCGGGGATGCGTTTTGATTGTTCCCACGAGCAGACTCGTGGATCTGCGGGGAACGTGTTAAGAAGCTGATAATTGTGGTTACTATGCATGTTTTATTTAATTATAAATGCATTATATAACTATAATATATCGACAACATACAATCTTGCCACATTCATGCACTGTGCACACACTCACTAGAAAAAAGAGTAGGGGGGAGTGCCAAATTTAAACAACACTTTCTTTGTTTCACTTGCACAGCACAAATTGGAATAATTCGCCTCCATATTCGTATTAAAGTGTAGACAAGTGTCTACTTGTTCAAGTTATCATCTTTGCACCTGGGTAAAACATAATTTACCCAGAGAAATCCCATAAAGCCCTGGAGTAAACTCTGACTCTGCAGCAATGTAAAAAAGAGCAAGTCCCTGTTTATTATCAGAAAATTCTTAGTGACGTACACAGTGTTCGAAATATAGGCTATCCGTTTGTCCTCACTTGTCCATTTCCACGGAGGACAGGTAGACCTGTCCAGTAGCTTGTCTGCTGGACAAGCAGCTTTTTAGAGCAATTTTTCATCATTTTCTACCAGCGCTGGCGCTGGCGTTTCGTATTTTCGATTCGTCTTTTAGATACAACTTTTAGATAATACTGTTAGTGAACTGTTTTAAATTATAAAGTAAGATATTAGGTCTAAGATTTAATTTGATTAAATGTATTACAATTTACTATATTTCTGTTATAAAATCAGGACAAGCAAAAATATCTTGTAGCTTGTTCGTCAGACAAGCAAAATTTTTCCATTATTTTGAACACTGCGTACACTATTTGAATGTTTAGCCGTTGAACATAGTTGTGTATCGGATGTCATTCTTGCTTAAATCATCAAACTGGCTTGGCTTGGAACCGAGTGGCGGGTTCATCTTCAAGCTCGGAAGCAGGGCCAGCTTGAACCCAGAAAGTAGTGCGTTGCCATTGCTTACTTCTGTATAAACACGCACTTACTCCCATTTACGTTGCTGTGGCGTTTTTCGTAGGATTTTATGAGATTTCATTGATACAACAAAATTTTCATTTACCGTCGTTGCCTTACGTTAGATTCGTATAGAAAACCCTTTTAACTATTTTATCGCTAACATTGAGAAAGTGAATGCAATTTCCTCCGACAGTCTTGACGTATGAATTGTTTGTTGTTGCAGACCCTTTTGCTGATGCATTAAAGGGTGACCAACTTGGAGCCCAAGAGGGTCTCATACACATTCGAATACAGCAGCGGAACGGTCGGAAGACCCTTACCACTGTGCAGGGGATTTCAGAGGACTACGATAAAAAGAAGCTAGTCAAGGCTTGCAAAAAGGTAAAAATAATAAATGCAATCAACTACTGCAAAGCTACTGAGGCTATGTACTTATGTGATAAACTGATAATGCAAGGCTCGACACTAGTGGTGGCCCGGTGGCCCGGGGCCACCAAAACTTGATGTCGGGCCACCAAAATTTCCAAAAGTTAAAATTTGGTGGCCCGATCGGGCCACTAAAATTTCAAAGTGTCTATGTGATAAAAATAATTGTTTCTTACGTGCTAATCTCATTCAAAAGAGAGCGAGCAATTCGCGGAGCGAGGGCACACGTACGTACGCACGTGCAGCATTCTACCGCGGGCATACACAGGCGCAATATTTTATTTTTACAGTTTCAAAGCCTGCCAGACATTTTAACTTTCATGAGATTAAATGTATATGTTTTATTTTAACATGAAAAGCCAATGTGTTGTTGTTTTATTACAGTTACTTGTTTTTTACTCTGTGACTTTGATCTTCTTGAACGTCTGAACTGATAGATAGCATGTGCACGCGCGTGTTTAGATAAATAATGAGTGAAAGTAGAAAAATGGTATGCAAGATTCTGGTGAAAATTTGATGCCGTGGAATGGATAATTCAAATGTATGCCTCAATCATCAATGTCAGTGTGTGCCATTGTGTGGGGTTTGTTTAAAGACTTGTGCAAGTGCATCAGACGGCCCAATTTTCAAATAATATACAATATGAGATTGAAATAAAGATTTATTTATTTATTTGTTTTTTTGGGCCACCAGATTTCATTTTCGGGCCACCAAAAATTGAAAATCAATGATTTTGGTGGCCCGATCGGGCCACTGAAAAAAAAAGTTAGTGTCGAGCCTTGGATAATGGTGCATAGTTTCTCGCACCATGCATTCGACATATATATGTATATGATTCAGTACAGTAGTTGGCACGAATACAAAAATAGAAATGAGTGGCTAGAAGCTGTTTGGTAGGTTTTGTAGGTGATATCCTGAAGGCAGGTGTTCTGACAATTGATTCCCTACTGTAGTGGCTGCCCTTTTGAAAACTGATCTCTCTCGATTTTTTTAATAGTGCAGGAGATAAATAAAAAAATGTGCAGTAAACAGTGAATAATGTAGTGTCCAGTTAATGTATTGGTACCCCAGGCTAAAATATATACACCAGAGCCATGTTTGCTTAGGACTGGCATTGCTTGTCGGAACTTGTTTATTTGCTCATAAAACAACTGCAGTGTGTGTATCTTCTGTTAATGCCAAATAAAGCCGATCACCTGAAGTTGAGTTGCGTTACTTATCAAACCGTGCTTTTGTAGGAGTTTGCATGCAATGGTACCGTAGTCGACCATTCGGAATACGGAGAGGTAATCCAGCTCCAGGGAGACCAACGCAATAGCATATGTCAGTTCCTGACGAAGACGGGCATTGCCAAGGTAGAGCAGCTCAAGGTCCATGGTTTCTAATCCACGACGGTTTCGGATAGGCGGCTTGCTTGCTTATCTTCACTAACCCCGATTGTTTTGTCTATTGGCTTCGTTTTACTGGCTGCTGTTCGGTGAATGGTCACATCGCTTTTCAACATTATGTTAGACAACCTCACAGTAGACTACAGATAGCATGTATCTTTCACAGATAGATGTTTTTGTCATTTTTAACTTTTAGGAAATCGTTAATAATACAAAGGCCCCCATGGGACCTAATGTAAACCTTCACAATTTTTTAAAATGAAATGTTTTCATGAGCTGCACGTAAAGATTATTATGCGAAGAAAGTTATTCCGAGATGTGTGAGAACTGTGCCATTGGTGTAAATGTGTGTGGTCTTCTTTTGGTATTGAAATGAACTATTAGTTGTAGAATTAGGTTACTTGATTCACGAAACATAATTAATATATAAAATGCAGTTATAACTTAATAGAAACATCAACTGTGTAACTCTTCTGTCATTTTAAGTAGCTGGCACTAAAACTTGAGATTGAGGTGTTTACAATTTACCATAAAAAAGTGTGGTTGAAATTGTGTTTAAGGATTCGTATTGCAAGTAGTAGACCAGTCCACCCTTTACTTATTATCTGTCTATAACACCATTTTAATTGCTTTTAAAGTGCTTCATTATTAACTCTGTACAGTTAATGTTTCGAGTAATAAAGTTTGATATGTCATAGTTGTGTTGTTCTATACATTTTGTATTTGAATATGCATTCATAGTGAGTTCTACCTCGCCCACACTCTCAGTCTCATCACTTCCACACACCATTCACGCCATAGCTCAAAACAAATTGACTCTAATTATAGTGCCACAAATCCAAACACGTTTACAAGTGTATACTATAGTAAAAATGAAATATATTTTTCATCACTAGAAGACTACTGTACATATATGCTTCTCAAGTAAAGTGTAGAGTCGTACCGATTATCTTGTGAGGAAATTGACAGAATTGATTATTTTTGACATTTTAATTATATTTTTATTGAAAGTTTTTATCAGCATTGTCTATTAACTTGTGTAACTAATATGTTACAGTATCTTAAAAATGTAATTCATAAGTGTAAATGAAGAAGTTTGAATTGAATTAAATTGACTCGGCAGTTATTCTCAACCGTAATTAAACCATTGCAGGGTTCACCTAATCTTTAAATTTAGGACAAAAGGTAGTCAAGTGACAAGTAAGTAAAAAACGTACCTGCCACGCATGTGCATGGATGTACGAACGTGGGTGCTGCTGTAAAAAGTACTGCATTGTAATATTGATGCAGAGTATGTCAGTTGTCATGAAATTAGAACCAATATTGCCTGCTGGAAATCGATTTTGCCCTCGTAAAGCGTGATAACGTAAAATACCTGAAATGCGATTTCAAAACCTGTGCCACCACTACAAGATTTACTGCCAAACCCCATAAATGTCCCTGACAGAAAATAACTGTCATTCATTGACATATTGGAAGAGGCCAGAGATTTGTCAGAATGTTGTAGTTTCCAATCTCTTTTCGAATTCTGACTTCGAATACTAACTAAAGCATTGGTACCATACATAAGTATGGTACTAACGGTTTTTGAGAAAAAAAGATAGTTTAATAGGGAAAGGAATGATTAAATGTAACTTTTGGGTTCATATTTATCGAGTTATCGAATACATATTTGTGAATGTACATGTCTGTTTGTCTGTTCTCAATGCAAATCAATATGGAGCACTATAGAAATGCCCAATGACGTTCAGTAGGGGTAACCTTTGATGCTGAATAGCATGGGCACATTGGATTTGACCTCCGGTGTAATCTGAGGTCGCAGGAGAACAAAATGAGGCAAAAAATGTGAAAAATCAGACTGTTACCTTGTGCCGCTTTTATACTGGGGTTTATCCCGCTTCAGGTCCGGACACTTAGTCCGAGCTAAAGTTATTCCACCTCTGCCGCTTTTATACTGCGCACGACTTTAGCCCGCTTCTGAAGCGGGATAACTTTAGCTCGGGATAAGTCGTTTTATACTGCTGAAGCGGGATAACTTTAGCTCGGGATAAGTCGTTTTATACTGCGCACGACTTTAGCCCGCTTCTGAAGCGGGATAACTTTAGCTCGGGATAAGTCGTTTTATACTGACGTTAGCTCGGGTCTGAAGCGGACCTGACCACCCCCTAGAGCGGGATAACTTTAGCTCGGGCTAAGGGTGTTTCGACCTTTTATACTGGGGGATAAACCCCAGTATAAAAGCGGCACTCAGGAGGTGGTTCAGGTCCGCTTCAGACCCGAGCTAACGTCAGTATAAAAGGTATCTCGACTTTAGCTCGCTCTAAAGTCGCTCTTAGCTCGCAGTATAAAACAACTTATCCCGAGCTAAAGTTTTCCCGCTTCAGAAGCAGGCTAAAGTCGTGCGCAGTATAAAACGACATCCCGAGCTAAAGTTATCCCGCTTCAGCAGTATAAAACGACTTATCCCGAGCTAAAGTTATCCCGCTTCAGAAGCGGGCTAAAGTCGTACGCAGTATAAAAGCGGCATTGTAGTAATTCTGACTGATTACTTCAAGCTGTTACTAAATGTACAGTAATTGATAGCTAGACAGACAGATAGATTTTTTGGGGTATTTTTCTTTCAACCATGTGGTCACCAACAGTGCTTTATTTCCTGGGCAATGCTGGGTATCCTGCTAGTGCATAATAAATCCAAAGGTTAGTAAACGTATTTTCCCTTGTTGTTTTTTAGGGTGCCATATACTACCCTACTCTAGAATTATTTGTATGTAAATATGTTTTTAGGACGTTTATACAAAATAAAATAGAAACATGATTTTCATATAGTTTATAAGATAGCATAATAACATGGATCAATGACATCCTACTCGATACATCAACAGTATTGGTAGTCACAATGAAATCGGGGACAAAATAAAATTGCCAATAAAAATCTAGGCGTTATTTGTTTAATATACACAATTCTATAATCATATAGCAGCATGCATGCAGTGTGCAAGGACCAGGAGCGTCAATGTATGTAATGAATTATATGCTAGTTTCCAATAAATTTACATGACAAATTTATGTGGAGTGCAATGACTTGACAAACGCTTACACGAGCAAAATAAAACAGACGATAAATAACACGGTTACCATGAGCAAGATGCTTGTTAAACGATCTGTGTGAAGAGGTGCAGGTAAGCAGTCAAGGAACCAATAATACACTTGAATTTAAACGTCCCCTGTAATTTTTATTCCTACATATGACCACAGTCATCAATAGCAAAGAGCAAGAGATATACCTAGCGAAGAGTATTTGCCCTCGATCATTATATCATGCCAAAAATGGCATTAATGAACATAATCCGTGGAGAGTGGATCTGCTATCACCCCATCACCCTACTATAAATAGCAAATTAATATTACCTGGCACATGGTCCATGGTCTTACGACCACAAGAGACGTTTACAATTCGCCTCTAGTATGACAGCAATAGCCTTACTCATACAAGCACGCATCGCACTACGACGCTGGGGCTCTCACTTAGGATTGTGATAAATATGTGATTACAAGTTTCACTGATAAATAAGATAGTATAAACTGTTGCTTAACCTTTCCATCGATTACGAACATGATAAGTGTCCAAGCACGAGCATCACTACAATACTTCAACGCCCTCATAGTATTTTCTCACACAGGCCTTAAAACTGCGGCTGAATTCGGATTTCAACCTTTACTATAACTATATATATATTTTTAGAAGCTATATACCGATACACATAGGATCAGGAGTGAATAATAGAGATCTCTATTATTCACTCCTTTGGGATAATATCAGAAATCATATACAATACAAAGGACAGAAACACAGAAAACCTCGTGTATACAAAAGTGTAACATCACAAAGGGTCACGATATATAAAATCAAAAGTCTAAACAAAGAATGTATTTACACACTTTCGTTGCCATAACAATAGCTCTTTTCAATTTCATTTTGGGTGTGTACATTTTCTAATAATAATTTTCACAATGACACGGGCCTTCTCATAGATATATATACGTTACTGTACACCAAATTTAAACTTCCAGAAAGTTATACGACTACATCTAACAATGGCTTGTTCCAGCATGATCGCTAACTAGCAGCTTCAAATTTTAAATGGTAATTACCGCAATTTATGAGGCAACTGATACAGCAACGTAATTAACATCTTACTGCTTGCATTCAGCATGCTGCGAATACTGCCACTAATGTGTTACCTGGCCGGCATGCCCGGCCCCCCCACTCAGTGTTATTTAGGGTACGCATATGCTCGTTCCCTCCCTTTGAAAGCCCCCCCCCCCCTTATCTCAGGACTGCTCAAATTTCTGAACCCCCCTTTCGCGGGTTTTTCCTGCCTTGGAGACCCCCCTAAATCCGGAACACTGCTCAATGTACCCCTATCTCAGGTGAGCTCTCATTCCAACCGTAGTGACGTTAGTGTAGCGTGTGGAACTGTCGAACCAGTCTACACTACGTAGTGTAGTTCAGTGATCGAGGGGAACTAGGGGGCAATATTTTTACATTTCAAAATTAAATAATCCTGAATGAGCTTTCAAAACTAGCAGGAATTTCAGGAATTTGATCCCGGGATTTGATAAAGTTTTCTATGATATTCAAGATAAAAGAGAGAGAGGAAAAACACCCCCTTTTTAAAGAAATATCCGGGTGAAAAGTCAAATACACCCCCCTTTTTTACAATTCTTGGGCCGGATTTTGTCGCGCGAAAAATACCCCTTTACCGGAGATTTTGGGAACGCGCATGCGGTCCCTCCGACCTCGGAGTGGGGGGGCCGGGCCGGCATGGTGCCGACGCTGTCAACGTGAAATGCTACCAAGTCTAGAAAAACAGAGGCAGGCAACTTTCAAAAAGTTCCACAACAGCTCAAGATGCTCCGGAATATTGTCAGCTTACTGCAGCATATTACAATATCAATGAAATTCTTCATATAGATAGGAATGGCTGCTATAAAAACAGATTCGATAGAAATTCTACCAAAACTACATCATTAGTGCACATTATAAGAAGACTCACAGAATGGTAGCGCATGAATCAGTGTGCGTCTGTCCCACTAACTCTTGCATCCATTTACCACGTTTAGCCAGGGATTATGCTATGGTATAGCAGCAACCACACACGTGTAGGTACTGTGACTTTCTAACATAGCATTCACACTAATAAAACAGTTCATGGGCCACAGCTAATTCATGTTCAATGAAATGGTGTAGAAAGCAAGAAGTATAGCACAGCAATTTCTCAAATTTTCACAAACTATATTTACATGCAAGCTGGTAGACGAGGGTCGATAGATCAGCTAGTTTAATAGATTTCCAGCAGCATGCTAATGGCCAGCATACCTTTATTATTATATTGCATGGACGATGGAGTTGTGGGACAGACTGTAGGTAAACCAAAGCTGCCAACTACACTCGACTTTACTGATCTAGCTGGGTGCTTTAGCAGGTGGTAGCAACGTTGGCAACAGCGGCTGTCAAAGTTTCCAGCAGTACAATTGATTTGACTGAAATTCTGATTGTTTGCCCAATCCTAATCTTTCATTTACAGAATTCATTCTCATTCTGATATTGCTTCGTGCACATGTATTCTACATCGGGTAACCAAATGCGATTACGTTTAAGACAATTCTACCACTACATTAGTAAGTGACTATTAGTACTCCTGTGTTGGGATGCAGTTACCAGTGGCACAACAACAAGAAGCTGTGACCAGTACTGCTACACCGGCACTTCAGCCCCAGTACGCCTACCAGTACAGTGGTGCAGCTTCGGTACTCTGGTCTATGAGATGGGTTTCAACGCATAGCTGATCTTGGATATGCTTTTCACTATAGCCAACATGGGAAATACGGTTCACAATAATCAATTCTTGACAACCAATGCTCCGGGAGTTCATGGCAGGAAGAAGTGCAGACTGAGAGCGGTAGAGCTTCACAGGCTCTCGTCGCTCTCCATCGCATGTAGATGCATCTCATCCGCATCGACGATGCTGCTCTCGTGCGACATGTCCGTCAAGTTCAGGCTCTCCTCCCCTCCTGCGAATAAACACACGACAGCTCTAAACACACAGACCTGCGAAAGTAAGAATGCGGATTTTATATTAAAGTGATTACGTCACCGTAAATAGTAAAAGTATAAAAATTATGTCCCCTTTTCACAAAATGTAAGTGATTCTGTTCAGTTTTAATGGTAAAATTGCTGCATTATACTTCCCATTTTGCTATTCCGTTCGATGTGAACAAACACTCGTGACACATACATAGCCCATAGCAAACATTTAATGTCATGATCAATATATCAAATCGGCAGATTTTTTGGATTTTTAACCAGTTGAAAAACAATCTTATCAGGTAAGAATTTAAGGATACATTTAGTGCCGTTAGTACTTAGTTTTCATGTAAAAAAAATTGCAACAAAATTTTTACAAATATACACCATAGAAAATTCGTCACGTAGTCAATTTAACAGCACGCTGACACATTCCAGTATTCAAGCACAACACCACGACGTAATATTACTACGAGACGCTAACAATACTAAGTAGCTACAATACCATACTACTATATACTATACAATACTATATTACTAAGTAGCTAGCAGGAACTGATCTACACCTATGCTAAGTCACCTTCTGCCTGGTCGTGGTCGAAGCCAACACTGGGTTCATCATCATCATTGACATAGCGCTTGTCAATCGCCTCTTTGATCTGGTTATTGGCACCCTTAGGATCCAGGTCCATGGCCCACGAGAAATTCATTAGGGCTAAATGAGTGTTGCCCAGCTTTTTATGCACCTTCAGAAAGAAAAATCGAGTCATTGATGCTGACATAAGTATGCGAGAGTCAGCTCGACATTCTGATTGAAGCAGCTGCACCTTATCAATACATGACTTGACATTATTTCTACATCTCAAAACTGCAAAACACTGAAATCGTAAAGGAACACACAGACAATCGAAGGTTAAAGATCAATATCGAGAGGGCATAATTGCTGCATCAATCAACGTGAAATCCAATGAGACATACCTTTCCTATGAGGAAATAAACTAGTGATTCCTTAGGTACGATTTCTTTAAGTTCCTCTAGTTCCTTTAGCGCATCCTGATGCTTGTCATTTGCAAACAGGATGGATGCCCGGTGGAATTTACACAGTGGATTCTTTGGATCAGTTGCTATTGCCTTGTTTAGCGTTGCTAATGCCTGATCGGACCTCTGCAGTGCATGTTGAACCTGTAGCAGCATGTTATTATTATTATTATTATTATTATTATGAAATCTCTATTGCATGTAATTCAAACACAAATACATGTAGTGGAGACAGTCTTTTTTATGGAGAATAGATCTGATAGATGCAATAGTAATATGGGATAAAAATTCTTCTATTTCTCATTTTCCTCATTACAAAAATAAGATCTTATGAAATGAACCAGAAGTAAGTTTTAAACAGTAAAGAGAACAGAGTTCTGTGCAGTTAATTTACAACATTGTCAAAACGCATTAGGTTAGACAACTGCTTGTCTAAAGAAGACTCACCACTCCAATATGGCACATGAGCACAGAGCTCTGTGGGTTTATGGACAATGCCTTTTTGAAGTGCACCTCTGCCAGTGAAAACTTTTCTTGCTTGTAATATATCATACCAACACCATACCTAAAATGTTATACATATTATAAGGTAGTTATGAACAGATTTATGAAATTTTATCAAGGACATTTACCATGCAGATAAGTTTGCAACACTATACACGATATAAACATGTATTTTAATTACATTATAAGAAAGCGTAGTTATATTCTACAATACAGACAATGATCATCACAATTTATGATGTTATATGTTTCTCAGAACTTAAAGGCATTCTCACTCTAATACAACATAACACACAACAACAAGAACAGAACAGAATTTTCTTTGGAACTGTAATATTTTACAATGATATCTTTAGTAATAATTCCATTAAATAATGAAAAATCTGATCTGGTATCTTTGCAAACAATTAATAAATATCATCAACATTAATCAATTATCTAATCCTGTAATTTTGAGGTTTCAGTGTGTTTGTTTAGAATTATAATAAATATTTTTGCTGTAGTAGTATAACCCGATACACTGCCTTCCCTTCTTGAAATATGCAGGGCAAAGGATGATGAATCTAATAGTCTGTGTAAAAAGTAAACATCCAATACAGACATAATTAACACCAACAAGAAAATGAAAGTGTCAATGACACTATAGCTCACATTGGGTGTGATAGAAGAGGGAGATGATATTTAAAATTTGGTAAGTGTTTCATTTATGACGGACCGAAATGTGATCGAATCTCCCATAGGAGTAACAACTGTATGCAATTTGAAACATGTGGGTTAAACGATTCTTGAGTTATCGGTGACCGTAGGCAGACACTGAAATGCATAGTGAAACTAACAAAATCTACCTAATTTGCATAATTTTTAAGAAATATCAAAACCCCTGTGATATGTTTTGGGGCCAGTCCTTATTCATTCACATACCAAAAATTAGCAAAATCCGTTTAACCTGAACTGACTTATGGCCATTTCCATTTTTGCCAAAAAGTGGGCGTGGCTCAAAAGTAGGTCAACTGGCGTGCTCCAAAATAGGACGTTCACATCTCTCCCATAGGAGTAACAACTGCAGGGGTAGAAATTGACTTTTGAACAAGGGAGTCCCTACCCTCAAAAAGAGGGAGTCCGCAGTCTGAGGTTCAAAATTAAAGATATTAACAATAACGCATGTGCTTATTTTTAAGATTCATGCAGTTGCATGTCTGCCAAATTTTCTTTGGACATTAGCTGAAAAAATACAGTAATTCCGCGAGGCCGTGCTCCGGAACTGAACTAGTTAGTATGGCAGAATTTTCAGGGAGTCACACGGACTCCTGCATATGTCAAATCAGGGAGTCCGACAGTAAATCAGGGAGTATTTGTCTCCGGACTCTCGTTAATTTCGCACCCTGCAACTGTATGCAATTTAAAACATGTGGGTCAAACGGTTCTCAAGTTATCGTTGACCGTAGCCAAATGTTGACGGACGGATGAACGGACGAATGTGAGCTAAAAACTACTGCATGACGATGAAGGACAATAAAAAAATCTGCATACCAAGCATTGTAATGTCTTGGGTCTATCCTGATGGCATTTCGAAAGCATGACATGGCCTTGTCCAGCTCTTCAGTCAAAACATACTCGTGACCTAGTAGTGTGTATGCATATGCAAAGCTGGCATCCACCTATATTGAACAAGACAAGTAGAAAATGTAAGAAATGTCAAGTTTTAGAGTATATAGTTAGCTGCTCAATTATACATCTATAGTATAAATTCACCAAATATACTTGAATTTCACATTCTAAATATGACATTAATTGAACATTTAGTAAATGTCTATGCATTCTAAACCCAACTGAGACTTATAAATATGGTCGTGAACCAGGTAGGCAGCAACTGCACGTTATCCTGAACGCACCTGTACGGCTCGTTGGAAAAACTTGATTGCAGCATCATGTTCCTTCTGCAAGCTGAAACAATTGCCAACAGCACACCAGGCCTGGAAGCAGACAGACAAGACAATATTACACAATTATTGCCTTTTCGGTGAGATCAATTCATGCGTCTATTAACCTGCAAGAACCAATATTCACTGCGGCCGAAGGCCAAGGTTCCTCCATGTTAAAAACTATTGACCAAATTCCCAAAGGCAACAATTGTTTTATCATTGTTTTTATCATATGACAATACATATTCTGTATGCCATAAATCACATGATATACATATGCATAGGATTCTGTGTCCGACGGCTTCACAAAGTAAAATTTAGTCGATCGGCTAAAAATAGCACACATGGTCAGTCAAATCAGTCGACCGAGGATTCCATTGACTTTGCATGCATTTATAGGTAAACACACTAATTTTGCAGTGGACAAATGATAGGACCTTCACCAATATCAAAAACAGATAAATACTAGTCATATAACAAATATTTTTAGATTATAAATAATTTAAAGATATAGTGATGACAACATATTGATGAAGGTATAATAGTGACATTCCATATATTAAGGTAACAGTAATTGTCACACTAATAGCTTCATGTAACAATTGAGCTACTATTTACTAGTAGGCCCCTATACAATGATTCACCACTTATTTAATTCATGATTTTCTGAACACATATAACCCTCACCACATTTAAAATACGAATTGTTTTCACATTATGGTACAACTAAACAATACAACAGCCATGTTAATATTTTGCAAGTAGCAACAAGAATCCCGTCCACGTGAACACAAGTGGCTAGAATAACACACGCCTCGGGCCCGGGAGCCCGTGGCACCGGGATCACTCATACCTCTGGGGATTCCTTATCACAGTCGGACAGCTCCTGAGCGAGTGCAGAGAGAGCCACCTCCTTCTGCAGGTGCCAGAGGGCAGTGCTGTAATACTCCATGCCCTCCAGGTGATACGGTTCCATTCTGCGCACCTCCGTGAAATATTTACACGCCTGGGCGCAAAAACAAATAGAACGTTACATTAAAGCCAGTATTTCAAAACCAATTTCCAACCAGTCTCGTGATCAGCGTCATTTGGATTACTGCCGCCATTTCTTGCGAATCTCGGACTATCTCGCGATAGCGCAAGATATCAGCTAATTTAGAAATAGAAACGGAGTGAACTACACAGAATCAGATTCCATTTTGTTTGAATTAGGTGCACTATGGGTGCACTTGTTTTGAAGATGCCATTTGCAAATTAATTGTCGCTATAATCAAATATGCCATGGTGTTACGGCGTGTTGAATTCCAATTTTCTATGCTATAACAGCATAAATTCATAGTGTTTTTCAAGTTGGTGTATGTAATCACTAATATATCTGCTATGAGGTGAGACTATATTTCGGTGAAATTTGTTCAGATTGTGCTTCTTTTTTTTAAATGATCAGATTTCAAAAAATGGCTTTAAAATATCATGCGCATTTCATTAACATGCACCTGAAATTACACGAGGGTATTATCGCAAGATAGACGGTCGGTCAATGTTAGGCGCCTACCTGATTATACTCGGCTAGTTCAAAGTGCGCACGGCCTAGATGACTTAGCACCCAACCCGTGTTCAGATGATGCGCAGGCAACTCGTCAAAAATCTCAATGGCCTGCTTGCTGTTGTACTGTGCGAGACACGAGTAAGCCTTGCCCATCTTCTGCAGCAGCAGCATCAGGCCCTCTGGCGGGAAACACGATGTATAAACGTCAGAACCACAGGTGGAATGATCGTAAATCATATTTCATATCACGGAAAAACTCTACAATGTTACATAATGTGCTCTACATATAAAATAATTAAAAAACTGATCGATAAGTGAACATCGCATAAAAGTCCTCTATGCTTCCACATCTCTTGTTGGAAAGGAGGAAAAATCTTGTTGTGTTTGTTATGGCTTACATACCGGCAGCAGCTTTCTGCAGACCCACGGCCTGTGCTTGAGGAGTTGTGACTGTCTCGGGTTTCTCTGGCTTGTTCAGCTCGTTCAGTTCATTAAAGCTGGGCTGTGTGATACTGCTCTTCCCACGCGTTCTATTCTTCTTTCCAGCTGCATTCAATAGCAGATTGCCTTTGTTGTTCTCCTGAATCATGCAATCAGTGACATTGAATTTCTGTCATTATTTAATGTGAACATTGACATCGACAGCAATGTCTATCAGTGCTTAGAGAACAACCTCATTCTTTTAATATGTGAAAAGTATCACAAAATCATTTATCATTTGACAACACACTACCTCACCTTGACAGAGTTAGCATTACTGAAGAGTCTGGAACTACGTCGCACATTTGTGACTGCGCTATACCCTAGGCTGCAACAACAGAAATCTGATTATTGCTTGCGCATATGACATATGCAGATGTTGCATATATTGGTGAAAGTAACGATGTACAAGTGTTCTAAGGCATATAAGCTTTACTGTATACATTTTATGTTATGCAAGCAATACCAGTGAATATTGCAACGGTTGGGAAAATATGATAGTGGTAAGGAAAATTGTCTGAAATCTTTATTTTAAATAAATAAATAAATACCCAGATTGCTGCGCACTTGTTACTGATGTATTGTTAGTTCCTGACTGACTGAACACAGGCGGTTTACTGCCTCTTCTTGTCATTGTCTGTAAAAAGAAAACATGCTACCATTATTACAAAACAGTATATATTCTAAACAAATTATGGTGATACTTAAAACAGTTGTGTTGTCTATAGCTGTGTTCACACGAGGATTTCAGTTCCGTACTGAACGTTCACACGGTAAAAATATTCAAGACTTATACACGGCCTAGCAAGTACCGTACTGAAACATTTGGCACCACGCTGGCCGCGTATTGTCTGTCGTGTGAACGCAATTCGAGGCCTCTTACTGTAGTGCGCTTACCTAGACTGGTTCCCGTTCGCTACACGACGTTAGTGTAGCGTGTGAAACTGTCGACCGGGTACCAGTCTATATTATACCTAGCCAGCTAAGCCTCGATTCTCGTGTGAACGCTCCGAGTTGTGTTAGCACGATATTTCAGCCGAATTCAGCACCAGAGAAGTACGGAACCAAAGAGGCCGTGAATCTCGTGTGAACGCAGCTTATATGTTTAATACAAAAATGTGATACTAAGCATAAAGTTGTGATTATAGAACCATTTTCTACAAGCTCTAAACCGTATCTTGACACGTTCAGGAGTTGTTAAATGTCATTGTGATAGGCCTGTGTACACAAGCAATCTACATATATTTCATACACAATATGTGGGTTAATGTTTTACAAAACATGCAGGCGCACACAGGTGCACACACCGAAATGTGCCGACGGTTGCATGCAATCTCAAGTGCATTGCCACACAGTGCAGACATTTTCCTACCTTTTTTGTCGGTGCCTTGGGATCTGGTATGCCGAGTCCTAGGCCACCGTGTGTCTCAACGTGTATGAGTGTGGGAGAGGGCGTGATGAATGTACCTAGGTTCTCCGCCGGACTCGGGGTGTCCAAAGGTAATACACCAAAGCTGCAATCGTAGCAACGCCGATGAACAAATGAACAGCAAAAGTTATCAAAACAGTGTGCAACATACACGTCGTACGACATCAGACGACAGAACCCATGGTATCAACTGCTGGAGTTGTTATAAAGATTACAGTTTAACACGTTCAATAGTGGATCGTTAACAATGCACCTACTGTCCTGCGCTGAGATTTGACGTGTTTCACCACTTAGTATCCGATTGATTTACGACATTTTTGTACCCTGAATGCTAACCAAACTGAAGCATTTACCTTTCATAAATGTTATCTTACCATACACGGTCAAATATTATAAAAATTGCTTCTCATCAAAATTATATACTGATATGAAAACAGGTTGTATTGTAATGAAAGCTGCTGTTTACAACAAATGCCATTGAACTGCATTAAACAGGAAATTAACCACAGTCACACAAACTCTGAATTTCTCGTTCAAATCAAGTGTAAAGTATTGTACTATAAACACATACTAAGACTGCGGAAATGCAGACTGTCCTCGTTTAATTTCTAACAAAATAAAAACAGAGTCAACACGAGGCAAACGTGTTGCCACGACCTGACTCGTGTTTCGCGGGGTGAAACACTAACAGTTGTCATCGAATCAGCACCCACCTTGGTGTGAAGGGACTGAGTGCAGTGGGTCCTCCCAGCAGACTGCGTCCTGCCCTCGGTCGCGGCCTCCCAACGCACCGCGGCACCATCGGCACTTGTGGCATGTCGCTCATTGACAGGTCAGCCTGATCTCCCAACTGCTTGAGACCCGAGTCTACTGATGGCATCAACCTGGTCTGTACAGCGTCTGAGAACGGTGGCGTCTCCTGCCACACAAGAGCTCGTATATACAAGTAAGCTCACGTGTATAAATAAACATTGCACTCATTGATACTATATGGCCTTATGCCCCATCGGGAGACCAAGACGATAAGTTAAGTTAAGTTATCGATACTAAGCGTAGAACAGTTTTGAACATCATCATTCGAAGCTTAAATAACTCAACAAATTACCTTCTTATGCTATCCAAATCAACACTCATGACATTTACAATAAACAATTTAGATCCACAAGTAAATAGTAAAGCTTGCACTTATAACAGCTAATTATCAGCAGATTATATCATATTTCCAATATCTAAAGCGTAATTATTACTTACTGCCAGATGTAAGATCTAGCTCATCTGTTCCAACAGATAGTTAATGCACAATTCTACATAACTTGTCACAGATATACCATATAATGTTAACATCTATTGTTAGTAGTTCCTATTCCTGTTTTTTTTTTTTTTTACAAATATACTCCTGATAAAAATGTGCCAGTCATTTTAATTGTACAATTGTACCTCAACACTATTGCACATATCAGATTTTTTCTCAATACAAAAGACTGTCTTCATTACACGTATTTGAATTTGATTTACATGCAATAAATGATAAAGATTTAATACAGGCATGAGAGCAGGTTGGGACGTTTTTGGAGGAAATATTTCATTGAATTGTCATTTTCTATGAACCACTGTCACCGAGTTTCGGTACGCATGAGAATCTAGGGTAAAACCCTTTACATTACATAGATACCCCGCGATATTTATCTGGAGTTCCGTCACTTCTGTTTATTTTTGACGTACTTTTCTTGACTTTTTATAAAGTTAAAATTAAAAATGGCTTCGATTTTGACAACCTTATCCCCCTCAAATTTTTATTAGTTTTTTGCATCGATCTCAAGAATGACCAAAATGAAAACCAAAACCCGGAAATCCGCGAATTCGCGGAAAATTCTCATGCCTGTTAATAATAATGATGCTGATAATGATAATAATAACAACTAAGACGAGAATTGTGGCAGTGGTGGTTGGAGCCCTTGGCTCTATAAAGAATGGTTTTGAGAAGAAACCTCAACGAACTGCCTGGCCATCACACTGCCCAAGAAGTGCAGAAAATCGCGCTACTGGGAACAGCACACATTCTGAGAAAAATTCTGGATAAAATCCCTATGTCCCAGGTTGGGACACGGCCAACCCAGAAGCCACCGGCTAATGCCGTGATCCACTTTGGAAATAATAATAAGCTGTGTAGTATTGCACCTGTACTGGGACCTGGTTCTCCACGTGCTCGATGACAGGGGTGGAGTCCGTCGCTGGTGGCAGCTGCTGGGTGGCCGTGGGCGTGGGCGCGGGACACGTGCTCGAATACGCCGACTGACACGAGCTAAACGTCTGCAGATTCGACAGCTGAAACACCTTCGCCGGATCTGGCTTCTCACCTGGAAGCAACACATGCCTTTACAGCTCCTCTCCACCCCATCTCGGAGGGCAGTAACAACAACTTAATACGTGGACAAGTATCTGTGCGTGTGTGTACAGGTTTAACAACCGCAGTAAAACAGAGAGGCTACCGCATTACCATCCATGCCCCATTGAGAAAAAAAAAATATACATAGCCCAATAACCCAGACCTGCCAACCTGTGATTCATGAAAATAGTAAGGATTTTCTTTTCTTGCAGCAGGCGGCCATTTTGTTTGTATGTTATGCGCGCAATGAATGATGGGACTAACTCTGGATCATGCGAGAACAACGTGAACGTGTGATCCAATGTTGCTGCGCCCACAATCGCCAGATATTTCTCGGCTCACAATGCAAAAAACATTAATTTTCACAAGTCGTAAAAAATCGTAAGTTTTTCAGTTTGATCGTACATTCGTAGAAACATCATGGAATTCGTAAGGAATACGAAAAAATCGTAAGGGTTGGCAGGTCTGAATAACCGTGTGAACACATATATGTAGATATGCATACTTATATGCTTACACATTTAAATGTACAGAGCGCATATTCATGATCAAATAGTATATATTGCATACCTAAATTACATAATTGCTCATAGCTACTCCAGAGAAATGGATTAAGTTTTAGGCTTCTCTTGAGCTGCTCAGCTGCCTTTGCCACCCTCTCTGTTTTACTGAAATAATAATAACGGCACTTAGAACAACACATCCTTACAAATTTACTTAACAAACAAATGATATTATATATATATATATATATATACATCACTATATTTTATATTACTTTAACTGCTCAACACTATTTCATCCATCATATCTTTCTCCATAGAAAAAGACTGTCTTCAGTACATGTATATGTATTGAATTTATGCATTAAAGACTTGATAATAATAACGATATATCGATTATCGATATATATCAAGAGTAGATAATAGGAGAAGAGTATGACACCGTTTTAACAGCGTTTTGCATAGTTTTCATTTAAATTCTATCAATATGTGAATAAATATATTCAAACTTTACCTTGTTTTCGTCTATGATTCTCCCTTAATCATATGACACCACCAATTTACCTAAAAATCGTATGTGTTCTTCAAAAAAGTTCTTTGAATACGACACGGTTTCACAGTTTTAACAAATGGACGCATCTCCGCGGCCAAACTTTGTTATGGGATTAGTGTTCTATTGTCTATGACGGAACGCTGGGGGCTGTTGGGGATTATTAGTCATCGAATTGTATTCAGCGTGTAGCGTTTCCAGCGTGTTAAAAATACATGTGTGCTCACGGCGAGCTAGCAGCTGATTTTAGCAGTGTTGCCATCGTGTTCCTGATGATAAGGAAGCGAAACAAGTGCTGTTACTGTGCTTACCTAATATCCACCACAGCCCCCAGCGTTCCGTCATAGACAATAGAACACTAATCCCATAACAAAGTTTGGCCGCGGAGATGCGTCCATTTGTTAAAACTGTGTGAAACCGTGTCGTATTCAAAGAACTTTTTTGAAGAACACATACGATTTTCAGGTAAATTGGTGGAGTCATATGATTAAGGGAATCATAGACGAAAACAAGGTAAAGTTTGAATATATTTACTCACATATTGATAGAATATTTACAAGTTGAAAACTATGCAAAACGCTGTTAAAACGGTGTCATACTCTTCTCCTATTATCTACTCTTGATATATATATATATGCTTGTAGTAAATGTGTGTAACTTTTACCTGTATATTTTTCCGAGTAGACTTAGTGAAAAGCAAGCCGCATCACCATACTCATTTATTAAGTCTTCGTAACTATTTTTACTTCTTAAAAGGTTTCCTCCCATCAGCCATGACTCTGCCTTGGACAACCTGCAGAAGATTTGGTAATATAGTATACAAATAAGATTACATGTTACAGTTAGTAATTTACTAGAAGGTGAGGTTTCATTAGAAGCCGGTGTGCTGCAAATTCGGCTGCTGACTTTAGATTGTACACCGTGTATTTGTCCTGCAGCATGCTTCTGCCTAACATGAGCCTTTTCTAGCCTCAACTTATCTCTCCTGATACGTTTACTCACAGGTCTATTACTTTTCAAACAATAATATATTGTAAAACCATATAATAATTAAATAGATAAACATTTTCAGCTAAATGATGTTATATAATATTTAAAAATTGAGAAAATTTTCATTCACATTCGTCCTGAAAATGAGATACTTTAGACATTTTTGTCACCAACAGCAGGCGATCACGCAATGGCCACGTCATGTTTACTTACTTGTCCATGTCCATGCAGCACTTGGCCATTAAATATCTGCACTGTGCAGTAGGGCAGCCTCGTGTCTGCAGCAACGAGTATGCTTTGCCTGGCTTCCCACTTCGATAGTATGAGGTGGCGAGAAGAAACAGGGCATCATCAGATTTCACTGAAATTGAAGTAGGTAAGAAAATCTTGTACATATATCATACATACTGCATAGGTTAAACTTATTTAGGCAAGCGTAAATTGCTCTGTTATACTTTTGGACTCCCTCATTTGACATACGCAAGAAGGATTCCACACAAATGACCGGAAAAAAACTCTAGCCAAAAATACAAAATATTGAATACAATACTGTTCCCAGTAACTTAAAAACATATTGAAAGGTAGCGTACCACAGATAACATGATAATTTATGTCCTTGCAGTGATTTCTTCAACTTGGATCACGAGATACTATTATCTTCAATTTTAAACTTCGGACGACATACTTCCTTCTTTTAAAGGCCAGAATTCGCAGCATCAAAGGTTCATTTTTATTCCTTGATATTGTTTCTAGAATACAATATCTGGACAAATATGCGCACACTGATACACTGTCCAGTACTGATTCTCACAAATTATCTAATCATTTAGTTATTTATCAAAAATTATTCATTTATTTGATAAAATTCATCTGACAACTGTAACTTTCTTACACTGTGCTCCTCCATCAACGCATCACGTTAGGCATTCTAGTACAGAAAAGCAGTCTGAAACCCCAACCAGTCCTGATTTCGACAATTTCTATTTATACTATCTAACCTATAGCAAAATCCATAAAAATTGGCCAGCCTTTGTAAAAAGATATGGGGTTCTTGCTCCACGTCCCATAATGGGAGATGGGCTTCTATTTATAACACTGGGCATTCATATAAGGCCTACAGCAGGCGGGTGCGAAATTAACGTGTGGTGTGCGAGTCCGGAGTCAAATACTCCCTGCTTTACTGTCGGATTCCCTGATTTGACATATGCAGGAGTCCGTGCGACTCCCTGAAAATTCTGCCGTACTAACTAGTTCGTTCTAGAGCACGGCCTCGCGGAATTACTGTATTTTTTCAGCTAATGTCCAAAGAAAATTTGGCAAATGTGCAACTGCATGAATCTTAAAAATAAGCACATGCGTTATTGTTAATATCTTTAATTTTGAACCTCAAACTGCGGATTCCCTCATTTTGCTGCGGACTCCCTCTTTTTATGGGTAGAGAGTCCGTTGGACTCCCTTGTTCAAAATTTAATTTCTACCCCTGCTACAGCATTACTTACCTTCAGCATACAGACGTTCTGCTAGGAATATTGCATCTGTGAAAGCATAATGGTTCAACGCATGCCAAATGGCTGCCTGCAAAACAGCAAGATTCGCTTGTCACAAAAGTGTTTACAAATTATTGGATGACGCTAGCATAAAGCTGGCTTTACACTTAGTATAAACTTTTTGTTGAAAAGTTGGCAAGTTGATCAACTTTGCAACGTTCTTTCAACTTTTATATGATGTTTAAAGCATTTACATTATCAACCGCGAGTCAGCAAACGTTTCAACATTTCACCCGCAGTGTGCGTGCGGAGCGATATGAATGTACGCATTTTTGCATGTATTAATTCTCACCAGGTGTAGCCTTGTGTAGCACTGATAGCAAAAACAGGTGCGGAAATTATCTCCCCCTGGGTGGAGGGACACACCCGATTGTTTTTATCTGAGTGGCTGCATGGCAAAACGTTGATCAACTTGCTGACCAAAAGTTGAGAAAATAGAGCATGTTCTGATCTCTCAACTTTTACGTTTACACTGCCGACTTTCGGTAGATTAGCTGAAAAGTTGATCACCTCATCAACTTTTCAACAGAAAGTTGATAGAATAAACCCAGCTCTATGGAATGTATATTTAAGTAAAAAATACTGCTGAAACAAATAATTGTGCCAGACACTTTTACACTAGAGATTAACTGAATGACAAATGGTAACGACCAATAGAGGGCCTGCATTTAATAATTAATAAGTAAGAATGTAAAGATGCACAACAACAAAAAAACACATCAATATGAGAAAGAATGGCTTAACAAATTAAAAAGTGTCTAAAGTGTCTCGTCTAAGTGTGTAAAATGTCTAAAAATATCATTATGTTATTGTGTGTAGGTGAACATTCTATGTAAAACATAGGCAAATATGCGAAAATTCCAGCGCAAGGCGATAGATCCATTGTTAACAAGGGAGCATTGAATGTGTTTTAGAAATGGCATAGCTGAATTTAAGAAATAAAATAAAATACGATCCCTGTACACCTTGACCGCCACAAAAGATGTCATAATGCCGGCATGCCTAACACCATAGTGCCAAGCACCACGAATCTACTGAGCAATACCAAACAAACAAATAAAAACCGACCAATACCAAACGAAATAGATCATTTCCATCTAACTGACGCAGATGGGGTCGTTGTCGTATCAGGTACTACCGATATGTACTCGAGGTACATATATATGTATACACAAGTGTACCTGACCAATGTTGTTTCTACATAACCGTACCGCTGCGCTCCATAAATGTACCCAGGCGGGAAGTCTCGTTCAGCCACGTGGTATTGTCGTAAAAGCCGGAAAACGGTATAACATAGGAAGAATTTAGCGCCTTCTGATTGGCTGGAATTTGGCAAGATGTCAGCCTCCATGACTTGTAGCCAAAATCCCGAATTATCTACCAAAAACACTGAGGTCAGCTATATACGCATGACGATACGCAAATCGTATTATCATTTCCTAACTAAACCAAACTCGGCAGCTATAAGCCCAGACCCTTTCATAACTTAAGATTAAGATGAAAATAACACATTTGCACAAAGAATTGCAATTATAGTGATATTATATGTTATATTAATGAGTAAAATATGTGTTTTTCATGGAAAATACATCAGAAAACTTACTTATCTAACGGTCATAAACCAAAACAAACATTTACAAATGGCGTTTGTTCTCTTGTTTTGAAGGTTTACGACATTCTCGTACTTTATCGCGTGGTTTCATATGCTGCCCGCGGGGCAGGTATGTTTATGTAAACACATACATAATATGCTGAGAAGATACAGGTCTGGTTAACTTGTGTATACATATATACGTACCTCGGGTACATATCTGTAGTACCTGATACGACAACGACCCCTTCAGCCTAACTGACAGTGGACAACATTCACACACCTGTGCAGGACTTCATGCTGCACAGCATGATTTCATATGTGCACCCATCTAACAGACAATAGCCTCACCCACTTGGGCATACCCCTGTCAATCACAGACATATTCCCTACACCCCACACAACAAACCAAACGTATATAAGTCAGAGTCAGTGATGCTCAGCAACACCTTTCGAGAGGAAGCAAAATTAGAAGATCCTGATGAGACTAGCATAAGTTGAAACTAAGTACTTGATTATTGCTAAATTATTGCTGGCCAAGATAGCATCAAATATTTTTGTCTAAACTCCTAATATTACAGAGGTGTACTTCTTGTCAAGTTTTTGATGTAAGCAGATGTTAATATTCTGAGATATAGGCCTAATAATATTTATCTTAATTTTGTCTTTGATGTTACATGACCACACACATTCAAACAAGAATCAACACATTTCTCATTGATGCAGTTCACTAATGTCTTGTATTGTAGAGTACTATTCTACTGTACTGGGTCAGAAGACTGACTGTATCATCATAAACATTTCGGGTACTATATAACTTTCGACACACCCACAATACTTGTAAATGTTTGATTAGGGTTACAGCTACAGTTGGGTTCGGTATAAGCTATGTTACGGTGAAGTTAGAGTTAGAGTTAGTAGTAGTATTAGGCGCAACCACTAATCAGTTTTAGTTTTAGCAACACGACAATTTCTAGACAGATTATAGTTTGGCAGAGTGTCGTCGTTATATAGTATTATCAAGAGCGTATTAAGAAGGAGAGCGTACAACGGTGAAATAATGAAACCATGTTGCAGTATTAGTCGAATTAAGAAACTTTGCCCATGTTATTTTGACGATTCTTTGCGGTATTATTGATCAGCTGTCCTACCTTGCTAATATAAAACAAACCGCTTGTCCCTACAATGTCCCTACGCTGAGATAATGAATGGTGAAAATCTGGCATTTTTGCCGAAAACCGACTCGGGATCCCTGTTTGCTGCGACCCTCTCTCGCTTTGTGGCCAGTGTGTTGCTTCCGGTCGCTGCTGTGTAGCGCCATGGTAGCGCCGACTCATTACGTCAGTACTACAGAGTTTACTACATCCAGCGTGAGGTGGGCACAGGTGGGGGTCATCACTATGGCAATCAATAACAGACGTCATTTTTTCCATTTGTCAATCATTGACGGAAACACGCGAGGTTTCCCGAAGTCATCTCAAAGCGAGAGACAGTCGCAGTCAGCAGGTATCTCGAGTCGGTTTTCGGCAAAAATGCCAGATTTTCACCGCTCATTATCTCAGCGTAGGGGCATTGTAGGGACATGCGGTTTGTTTTATATTAACAAGGTAGGACAGCTGATCAATAATGCTGCAAAGAATCGTCAAAATAAAACGGGGAAAGTTTTATTAATTCGACTAATACTGCAACATGGTTTCAGCATTTAACCGTTGTACGCTCTCCTTCTTTATTATTTATAGTTATACGCTCTTGGTAAATGTACCATTATATTATATATGGACATTGCAGCAGTTGTTTATATAGTAATATATTGTATATCATACAATATATTATATTACATATAGGTACATTACCACAAGTTACACTATTACTAAGAGTATTAGTATTAATACACAAATAATGTACTATATAATTATGTAATGTCGTCTACAGCTACTGAGGCTGAGAGGGTCTATGTCCCCCGAGGTACTGCCGGCATGTACCCTGGGTACGGTCCGGTATACCAGAACGTACCCTGGTACCAGAGCATGCTCTGCTGGTACTAATAGTAATAGTAATACTACTAGTAGTACTAGTAGTACTAAGTACTACGGTATCTAATATTAATAATATGCCGGACCGTACCTCGCCTACTCCACTAACGAGTCTAGGGAGTCGCCTACGCCTACTCCCTAACCCTAACGGCCCAAGAATAGAGAACATGGGTCCCAATAAAACCAATGTGCCTAACCCTAACCCTAACCCTAACAATAACCCTAACCAGAATTCTAACCCTAACCATAACCCTAACCTATTATATTGATATAATATTATATTTATATTGATGTAAATGACATTGGTTTTATTGGGACCTATGTTCTCTATCCTTGAACCACCCTAACCATATCAGATAGTTACCAGGGTACGTTCCGGCAGTACCCTGGGGGACATAGACCCTATGAGCGCTACTGAGCTAGTGCGGTAGGCAGCGTTGTGCTCATAGTCATAGGGTCTATGTCCCCCAAGGTACTGCCGGAACGTACCCTGGTCACTATTTGATATGGTTAGGGTTACAGGGTTCTCCCCAGGATGAAATTCAAACAGGGGGGAGGGGGGGGGGGGGGGGGGAAACTAGGGGGGTCCGGGGGGCGTGTATTTTTACCGTACGACTAATTAATGCGTAAAATCGCCACCACACCATAGACGGTATTTGGGGTTCTTGTATATAAGATAGCCGAGTCGGTGTACAGTTAGTGACAGGTTAACTGTGCATTGTCAGGTTAACTTGTGTACTGTCTGCAGTGCATGCGTGGTACGGTAAAAATACACGCGTCGGATGTCCTGGTCGAACGGCAATTCTTGACGATCGATTCCCGCGCTGGCAAACTTTTATTGTGGTGGAATTTAAACGGGGCGGAGGTAATTTAAACGGGGCGCAACGATTCAAACAGGGGGGAGTTTTCCCAAACGGGGCGCGCGCGCCCCGTTTGCGCAACGTAGGGAGAACCCTGGGTTAGGATTAGGGTTAGGGTTAGGATTAATTTAGGGTTAGGGTTCGGGTTAGGGAGTAGGCGTAGGCGACTCCCTAGACTCGTTAGTGGAGTAGGCGAGGTACGGTTCGGCATATTAGATAGTACCAGGGTACGTTCCGGTATACCGGACCGTACCCAAGGTACGTTCCGGCAGTACCCTGTATTCCGGGGGACAGACCCTCTCAGCCCTAGTTCAAGTAGTTGTATTGTAATGTTGAATGTTGAAGTTGGACCCAGTCGGAATATGTTCAAACTTCAATGACTAACGTCTATGGTTACAGGGAATTATTAAACAAATATGAACGTACCTGTATTGGTTCTTGAATTATCATAGTTCCGAGTTTTCCTAATTCGAACAGAGATACACGTATTGCATTTAGGCAACGAAAACAGTATCAAGAAATGTAATATACATTCATTTTCGAAAGGACAGGAGCCTCGTTTTCGAATAATGATTAGGTGCTGCCCTCTTTTGTACATGACACGTACGTTTGCTCGGTACTTCGGTAGCTCGGTACCAGTGCTCGGTACTCGTTGCTGTTATCGAGCAAGAGCATAATTATATGGTGTAATTAATAGCAATGACATCATCATCATGTGTAGTAACAAAATAGCTTTAATTAATATTGAAGAGATTATAGTCGCTTGCTGAACAGTTCCCAGTCGCCTGCTAAAAATTTATAGGGAATGCATATAACGCCCATCTCTTTATAAACTGTTCAAAGAATAGTAGCAGACCCTATAATATCTGTTCATGCCATCGTGCCAAATGTGTAAGCCGAATGAGTACGGGCCTATACTCTGCCGCTACTATGTTAGGTGACATATTTGTATCTAATGTCACAGTGCGCGGCTGTCTACATCCTGTGCATGGTCTCGACAAGAGTTGCTCAAATGAGAGATGGATCGCGAATGAGTTATCAAGTTGAATGGTAATAGCGGAGCTCCGAGCGGGCCGAAGACCTGCGAGAGCGGAGCACCATACAGGGATTTTTTTTGCTGGACTTCGTGGTGAGGTCCAATATTGGCCCAATATTGGCACAACAATATTGGACCAATATATGCCTATATTGACAGGAGGACAGGACATAACCGAAGTGTGCAATCTTGTAACAGCTAGTACCCAAGTAGCAACAACCCAATACTTTTTAGTGCTGTATATTGGGACGGGCTGTATTTTAGGGCGCAACGCGGTTTGCGACAGGGTAAGGTTTTCAAGGTCCACGAGGCACCCCCTACCCATGCAGTTCCGAGGCGAGTGTCCCCCGGGGGAGGGGGGTGTAAGGAGCTATGTCACGAGAGGGATGAGTCGCGAGATGTCTGCGCTGAACCAGATAATTTTCTTAGTTCCAGAGAGCCGTCAGATTTCTAGCATGCCCAGAGGAAGTCGAATTTCCATGCAAACGTTGCATGAGCATCTTGTTCCCGAGTCCAGGTTGTGCATTAGGTCATGTACGTATATTGGGTTCAAGAACATGTCTCAGTAAAATATATGCGCAAGTGATTTTTGTGCACATAAAAATGATCAATAACATGCACGAAATTAAGAATATGAGTTTTCCCGTGCGAGCGAAAGATATGCTCAAAGGAAAATTGCGAGCATGTAGCAGAATTTCACAAAAGATATCTTCCGTAGGCCTACATTGTAACAATTAAAAAACGTAAAGCGAACAAGTTATCGGCCCGCATGGTACGGTCTACATATATGCGTGTAAAGCCCGGTGCACACGTTAGTAATTTTACTCAAGTAAAATGACGCATGAGTCAAAATACTCACGCGTAATATTTTCAGCGTTCGCCGCACACGTGAGTAAAATTACTCAAGGAATAAGTGGTGATGCAGATCACGTGACTGTGTGCAGCCAATTAATACTGGGCGCACAATGATTTAAACGCATGCGCTGTGAGTACCAGTGTTGAGTAAATTGTCGCATGAGTCAAAAATTATTAAACACGTTCGATATTAAGTAAAATGACGCATGCGTCAAATTACTCAACGAAAATCCGACGCTCACGTGAGTAAAATGACTCATGCATCATTTTAAAAGCCCGGCGCACACGTGAGTAATTTTATTCAAGTAAAATGACGCATGAGTCATTTTACTCACGTGTGCGGCGGATTTTCGTTGAGTAATTTGACGCATGCGTCATTTTACTCACGTGTGCGGCGGATTTTCGTTGAGTAATTTGACGCATGCGTCATTTTACTTGAGTAAAATTACTCACGTGTGCGCCAATTACATTTAGGCCAATTACAAGTAACGCATGTGGAAAACATTCCTGTGACACACTTTGTAGGCTAATGGTCAGGTGTGCACACACAATCCAAGTTTAAAAGCAGTTTATGACAAGTTTTTGCTATTCAGGTTATACAAATGACATTATTGACGCTTTGAAGCGGCATTTTGTTGCCTAGAATGCGGACATTTACAATATCACACAAAGTTCTAAAAAATTTCCGGACAGCATAGATCCTCTAAGTAGATCAGGTACAACCCCGTATTTAAACTTGTGCGTCATTTTTCATCACCCCTACATGTAGCTACAAGAACACATATAAAACAAGGTCATATCAAGAGCTGATAATACCATTATTAGCTAATTATTAATAATACCATTGTTAATAATAGGTAGTATTAGCTCTTGGTTATATATAGCAGTTTATATTGGCGCATAAAATGCAAGAAATCGCGTTATATCATACCATTTCTCCGAAAACGATTTCCGGGAAAGAATAATGCCCCACCACTAAAGGTGCTGGTGAGTCACATAGGGGGTCGCGGTGACCAGGATAAAGAGGTCATTGACAAAAACTAGAATGCATAGTATAGGGTGTAGTAAGATTATTAATCCTAGGATTAGCCATACTTGTAATCGTTTGTCTTAAACCACTGAAAATTACTTACTTTTGCAGAATATGGCTCATCATAGCCAAGTTACGTGTTCATATTATCATAGCTCTAACTTTGAGATCATTGTGACAACGCATTCGCAAAGAATGCTCTGCATCTAAAGAAACCACGGCGGCTACATCTGAGCAGAGCTTTATGGGAGAAAGTGTAGCATGAGCGCCACTCGCATATAGAATAGTCGTGATACGTTAAAGTCTATAGACTTACTCTGGGCACTATCTGGTTATAGCGTAGCACATACCAACATACGCGCATCTGCCTACACCCACACTTACACCCAGACTTACACCCAGACACACACATACGCGCACACGCGCGTAGGCACAAGCGCATACATACGCGCGCACGCACGCATGCAGGCACACAAGCACACAACCCCACACTCACACCTACCTACACGCGTGCACGCACGCACGCACGTACGCACACAAGCATACACACCCACACGGCCACACCTACCCGCACACGCGCACGCAAGCACATACGCAAGGATGCCAACCCACTAACATTCACACCCGCGCACACCCATGCCCACCCCAACGCACGGATGCGCGCACGCAGGCACACGCGCAAGCAGGGACGTATACGCTATAATTAATTCACCTCCTCGATCCTGACTCGTCGTTTTTTTAATTTCCACCTCTGCTCTGCTTTCACTGCGTGCTTCTATTCTTCGGTGGTCATTCAATCTCATCTACAAGTCCTCTTTCCTCTATAAACTTTTTCTATGCTTACGTACATCAAAAATTAACGAATTATGAGTGCATATAAGGCGGACCAGAAAGTCATGAAGCGTTCGCATTTGTAACCTCTGACCTGATTTTTCCGGTATATTGGGCAAACGTCTGTCTTAGCCGAAAGAAAGGTGCTTCAAAATGGAATATGCATACATATATATATATATATGAGTACATAATAAAGATCTCTATTATGTACTCTTGATATATATATATAGTCAAGAGCTAATAATATTATTAGCTCTTGATATTTATTATTAGCTCTTGATATAGTCAGGATCCACCGGCTTCCAACTGTGGGTCGTTGATATTACTCTAAATAAAAATCAGTGGTGTAGGTCTAACTTCTAATTCCCCACCTCATGTACCAGCTACGCTAGAGTGCCTTTATACGGTGTTTATACCGATATGTGGATTATGGTATATGAATTATAAGAATTAGATATGAGATATAGATTCTAAGATCTGCGTAAAGGGACTCGATCTACTCTCTGCTACGCGGTACAATGTACAACCATAGGCTATCACTACCATTCCACTGTACCCCACGTCATAACACACACACATACACACACACACGCACGCACGCACGCACTCACACACACACACACACACACACACACACACACACACGCACGCACGCACTCACACACACACACAACACACACACACACACACACACGCACGCGCGCGGCGCGCGCGCGCACACACACACACACCCCTAACACTACTCGATACTTAGCCCGCCTGTCAAGGTCCTGTAGGCGTAGATATATGGCGTATAGGCCTAATATATGGCTATAGGCATAATATGCGTTTTATCGTCAAGGTCACACACTGTTCATGCGTGAACGTTGAACGCACTGCAAACAGGCGGCAACTATATAGCTTGCTTTTTGCAGACAAAATGGCTGCTTTAAGCATCGTTCTCTGGGCGATGCAGAACGTACTGTTGTTGTCCGCCATTGTTTTTATCGGCTGCGTTGTATGGCACTACCTGAGGAGACCGCGCAACCGTTCCGCCTGGGCGCGAGCGACTTCCTCTTGTCGGCTCAGCTCTCTCACTAGGAGCCCGGCGATTTGACGCTAAGGATTGGGCAAAGACGTACGGGACGGTGATGAGCGTCTAATCTAGGACCACAGTTAACTATTGTGCTGGGTGACGCTGCTTCAACAAAGGATGCCTTTCTCAAGCAAGGCGACGCGTTTTCAGGACGACCTGATGCACCTATAATTGAAGTTATAATAAAGGAAATCATACCGGATTATGACATTACAACTTCTAATCATGGTAGGTAACCGGCATGAGGATTATTAACTCTTATTCAGTGGCGGATCCAGGATTTTGAGATGGGGGGGGGGCAACCGCGTAGGCAGGCTTTCATTTTAGGGGGTGCGGATTTTGTGATAGCGCCGGTGCGCACGCTTCGCGTGCCGAATAGGGGGTGGGGGCTAAACATAGGAGGGCGCGCGCCTCTTGCGCCCCCCTTGGATCCGCCAGTGTAATATTGATTATGATCCACTCATTGCGGTTGAGTCTGTAAGTTATGGAATTAAATAATTATAACCTGTCCTAGTGTGCGGCAGCACAAAACAACGTTGTCATTATTATGATGTATACAGACACATACGTACGCACACACACGCAGAGACACGCGCGAATAAGGCCATTACCGCAAACCTACCTATTTTAAGCGCGATTGAATTTCCAGCCAATCAGAACAGTGGTTTTTAATCGCGATTAAAATTAGATTTTTAAGCTGCGATTAAATTCCAGTCAATCAGAACAGTGGTTTTTTAATCGCGATTAAATAGATTTTTAAGCGCGATTAAAATGGGTAGGTTTTTCTGTGTGTGTGTGTGTGTATGTGTGTGTGTGTGTGTGTGTGTGTGTGTGTTGTGTGTGTGGTGTGTGGTATGTGTGTGTGTGTGTGTTGGTGCGTGGGGTGTGGTGTGTGTGTGTGTGGTGTGGTGTGTGGTGTGTGTGTGTGTGTGTGTGTGTGTGTGTGTGTGTGTGTCGTGTCGTGTGTGTGTCTGTGTGTGTGTGTGTGTGTGTGTGTGTGTGTGTGTGTGTGTGTGTGTGTATGTGTGTGTGTGTGGGGAGAGGGTTTGGGGGTGTGAACCATCGTTTGTTTGTGTGTCAGGTTGGTTATGAAGACCGTCCTGGAACGTTTGATGATCGTTACCATACATGCTGTGTACCATACACCATACACGCATATATGTGCTGATTACTCGTCTTACTACTAGCCTGACGTAGGATGCTTTATCACGGGGCAGTATATACGTATAGGATATTAAGCATATATGTAAAGTATAGTCATAGCACTGACAGTGATTATAACAGTATATGGTTATAATTGTGATTATTAATATTACAATAAAACAGATAGCAATAACGTCTATATAGAACTGACACACGCACACGCATAATAATAATAATAATAATAATAATAATAATAATTGATTTATAATGTGCACATTGCCTACATACAAATATGTTTACGCGCACGCGCATGGTTTAGTTGGGATTCATTGCATTGCTCTTTGATTTGAATTTGATAAGTTGACTCATGAAATTATCAACGCTTACGTTGCAAACGATATATGTACATGAATATAATACGCGCCTATAGATAAGTAACGCAAATAACCACACACACACACACACACGCGCGCGCGCGCGCACGCGCACACAAAAACCTACCTATTTTAATCGCGCTTAAAATCGCGATTAAAACCCACTGTTCTGATTGGCGGGAATTTAATCGCGCTTAAAATCTATTTTAATCGCGATTAAAAACCACTGTTCTGATTGGCGGGAATTTAATCGCGCTTAAAATCTATTTTAATCGCGATTAAAAACCACTGTTCTAATTGGCTGGAATTCAATAGCGCTTAAAATACATTTTAAGCGCGATTAAAATAGGTAGGTTTTGGCGGTAATGGCCTTCCATACTCGCACACACACAGACGCACGTGTGTGCGTGCGTGCGTGCGTGCGTGCGTGCGTGCGTGCGTGCGTGCGCGCGTGCGTGGGTGCGTGCGCGCGCCAGCTTAGTGTTCAACACTTGTAAAAATGAACAAATTAAGATTTTATGAAAATCTACACTATTTTTACTCAAGGGTTGGTGCTGTCTACGGGAAAACTGTGGAAGGAACAGCGTAAATTTGCACTTGCAAAACTGCGAGAATTCGGCATGGGCAAAGTCAGTCTGGAGTTAAAGATAAAGGAGGAAATTTCTATTCTTCTCGTTGCGATCAAAGCCACAAATGGTGAGCCATTTGACCTCCAGGTGAGTAAGTAAGTATTGCCAGATGAGTAGAATTCTGGATGAACTTTGGTTGATGACAGTGGAGCAGGACCTGCAGGGTGTGTAGGGAAGATAAAGCGGGAAAGGGCAGATCAGGGGAAAGGTCAGATCAAAAGGAGAAGGTATGTAACGTGATGAACTAAAGGAGATAGAAAATGGAGCGTCAAGGGGAAGGAACATGAGATGGATGAAGCGGAGACGGTAGCGGATGAGCAGATGTTTGAGAAGGTAAAGGAAGTTAAGGAGTCAGGGAAAGTGGGGGAGGCCAGAGGAGCTAGAGGAGACGCGAAGGTGGGAGAGAGGAGAAGTCGAAGGATATAAGATGATGAGGACAGGAGGTGGTGATCATATAGGGAGGAGTTGAATCTGAATGGTAAGATAGAAGATGAGAGGGAGAAGGTCCAGTAAGAGGAGAATGGAGAAACGTGTTCAACAGACGAGGCTGTGCATATTACGCCTATATACGATTACAATGATTAATAATTAAAGAAGTGTTACACTCCTAAGCATTTTTATCATGCTACCTGAACAACAATATTGAAGATAATTTTTAATGGATGTCATATATTAATTATCTTGAACGAGACGTCGGGCTACGAGGCGTCGGGCTACAACACTTCTTGTCTTTATTTCAAGGTTAAAAGCTCAGATCGACAGATAACATAACTAAGGATATTCATGGCGGGATACGCATGTTCGTGGTAATACCAATATTAATCTTTTCTCAGCCACTTATTACTACGAGCGTCTGTAATGTGATCTGCAACATCATGTGGGGAAATCGATTTGATCATGATGATGAACAATTCAAGATCTTGATGAAAGCTTTAAATGACGAGTTCGCAAACTTCGTTTCCACCGGCTTGCTAAATTTCCTTCCGTGGCTGCGACATATTCCGCCCTTCCGGAAGCTTATGCAGGACACAATCCGCAATGAAAGGTATAGATAACACCAGGAGTGAGGTTTTTTCATTCACTCCTGATATATACCTCCGTAATCCATATTGAATAAAAGTCATATTTTAAAGAAGTCATGTTTTGCTTCTTTTAAGAGCTTGTGAGAAACTCACACGTGTATCACGTCCAACTCTTGAATGAAAGTCATATTTTGAAGAAGTAATTTTTTGCTTCTTTTAAGAGCTTGTGCGAAACTCACACGTGTATCACGTCCAAACCAGGTCCAGTAGATTGTCTTATCCACCGCCATTATTATTTCTGAAATGATGATATCATCTGTACACTAATACGTTTTTTCTAGGCTGATATTTGAAGTTCTTAAGAAAAACCGGGATCTTCACGTGGAGAATTTTGACGCAGATAATATCAGAGACTTTACTGATGCCTACCATAATGAAATACAGATAGAAAAACAGAAAGGTCGCGAGACAACGTTTAAGGGTAGGCGGGGATCTATATAGTTATAACTGTAAACTGGTTCATATTGAAATATATCTTATTTTTAACGTACCTTCACAACAGTTTCGATCACTGTCAGCGATCTTTATCAAGGGACCTACGTCATCATAGGTGGCAGTCGATGACGTAGTATCCGCGTGACGTCACAGGATCTTCGGAGCCCCCGCCACGGGAGGTTGTCGTATACGTGAGAGAGTTTGTAGGCCCCTTCGTCTCTGTTCATATTTGACGGGGACTACAAAGGGGCCTACAAACTCTCTCACGTATACGACAACCTCCCGTGGCGGGGGCTCCGAAGATCCTGTGACGTCACGCGGATACTACGTCATCGACTGCCACCTATGATGACGTAGGTCACTTGATAAAGATCGCTGACAGTGATCGAAACTGTTGTGAAGGTACGTTAAAAATAGGATATATTTCAATATGAACCAGTTTACAGTTATCAACTAAATATCCGATGAATTTAGTTCAATATATAGTTGTAAAAACCATTAAATATGACTTTATTCGTTGTTCAATATAAGCTCCACGGACGCATCGTGCTATTTCAAAGGAATAGACATATTTAATTCAGTTCTCCATAGAGAAAATGTTGCACTAGTCTATTTCGCCATGTAAGAAATCTTAGCGAATTTAGCCTGTCACCATGTTAGCCACTCCCCCTACCTGAATGCGCTTCTTGTTTATACCACCTTCTACCGGTGGCTTCTACATCTATTTCAGCATCAACGTAGTTTCCTAACTGGCTTCAAACTACTCTTTATCTGGAGCCCGCACTGTCCTAGATCAGTGGCCTCTTCCCAGGCGCATGTCAAATCAACACAGGGCCTGCCAGTGTTCCTTATTTATTGACTTAAGTAGTGAGGATTTTAGAGGCTGCAATGGGATGTGACGTCATAGTATTTAGTTGTGATTAGTGTTAATTACTCGATATCTAATGACCTGGGGCCCGTTGTCAGAAACAAAATTAGTCTTAACATTAGTCTTAACATTAACAATTTCTCTTAGACCGTCGACATCACTTTGTTTCCTATTGTTATGAGGAAATCTGCTACGATTTTTCATTCTTGTAACTTCGAATTCGCAGCGTTTCTGTCAACTGTCTAAGAGAAAAAGTTAATGTTAAGACTAATGTTAAGACCAATTTTTTTTTCTGACAACGGGCCCCTGCAGCATGCTTTAGCCACATCAGCGCATGACTCTTGTGATACAATTATATTATAAGACACGAGCGTGCACGCATGCATATGACCAAGAGTAGATAACATATTATCTACTCTTGATATGACACGTGCGAACGCACGCACCCCTCCTCCAGTCCTCCACACACACATGCACACACACGCACGCACACACGCGCGCGCAAATAATGATGGTGATGATGGTGGTGGTGGTGGTGATGATGGTGATGATGATGATGATGATGATGATGATGATGATGATGATGATGAGGATGACGATAATGACGACGACGACGACGACGACGATGATGATGATGATGCTTATGATGATCGTCGTTAATCATTTAATTACACAAATAAAATTTCAAAGGAGGAAATTTCACAAACAAACATTTTATTAAAGATGTAGGAATAACTAGTAGTCACGTGACCCACTCTCTTAAGGATTCCCAACGCGGTGTTATATGGGTGTCACGAGTTGAAGCTAGGGCTAGTAAGTGCACGCACGCATACACTGTAGACGGAAAAGTTTAGTAATGTCAAATAATGAAAAGTTTAATAAACCATGTAACAGTTCAATGTTGGCACCCGCACAACCCTCAATTGCAATATTACGAAAAACTATATATACATTGACTAATAAATAATTAAGAACTGGTACAGCAAAACCGCAGATGGGGTTCTCCTTGTTTCCTCGGCTTCTTCTTCTTCTCCCGCTTCTTCTTCGGCTTCTTCTTCCGCTTCTTCTTCTGCTGCTTCTCCTCTTCGTTAGCTTCTTCTTCTTCCTCCTATTCTCCACCCACACGTGTCTCTCAAACACAAACTTCGGCCCCTTCTCCTCTTCTTCAGCCTCTTCTGCTTCCTCCTATTCTCCAGCCACACGTGTCTATCAAACACAAAATTCGGCCCCTTCTCCGGCCGCACGTCTCTCTCTCAGACTCAACTCAACCGGTCCATCTCAAATAGTAACTTCACTCGTCTACATCAGACACAATCTTTACACGTCTATATCAGACACACAATCTTTACACGTCTATATCAGACACACAATCTTTACACGTATATATATATCAGACACAATCTTTACACATCTATATCAGACACAACCTTCACACGTCTATTCCAGACAAAAATTCCAGGCTGTGACGTCTGACCTCTCCCGCACGTCTCACTCTCACCAGCTATCGCGCGTACGAATCACCTAGGGTATATATTTAGGTCATGCCGCGTGTATAAACTCTGTCACTTGTGACCATGGGCTACATAGTAATACATAGTAAGCTAATGTATTAGAGAGGGTAGGAAAAATTCATGGAGACAATTCGTGCTCAACATTTGTGTAAACCGCATCGGTCTCAAGAAATGTTGTCAATTCTCATTTTAGCAAGGCTGATATGAGCTCACAAAGCATTTTTGTAGCTAATCTTACCATTCACATGTGGCTTTACCCGAGTCATAAGAGTCTGCTTATGGGTACTCTATTATAACATATATAACATTTTTATTGCATATAAACTAGCTGACCAATATCAGATAGCATAGCAAACACTGCCATATCATGGAGCTATACAATTTCCCAGCGAATAATTCCACGTTTCCATTGTAAAAATATATAAAATTATATTTCAGACGACGAACTATTGTACGTTGTTTGGGATCTGTTTATGGCTGGAACAGAAACCACATCCACGACCATGCGATGGGCAATGTTGTTCATGTTAAAACACCAGGATGTATGCAGAAAAGTGCAGGCAGAGATAGACGACATCATCGGTAGAGGAAGACTACCAAATATGGCTGACGCGAACAAAATGCCTTTTACGGAGGCGACCATCATGGAAATTCAACGCCTGGGTGAGTTGGTTGTGACACCCAGCACGAGCGTGACATCATCGATGCATATATTTAAAGTAACAATTAAGGCGCATAGACTCACCACGAGAAGGTGTTACATGGTGTTACATTTAGGTACCAGCGTTTCATTTAGGAACACTACCTGTCCCTTAGCACAGTCTCTGTCAACATAATTATTGTCACAATGCCCCCATTACCATATTTCTACTCTAAAATAATGTATTGCCATTTCTCATAGGTAACATAGTACCCCTTGGTGCTATCCACGCTACGTCTGAGGAGGTCCAATTTAGAGGTTATACAATTCCAGCAAATACTGCTGTCATGTCAAATGTCACTGCCATCACGATGGATCCTGCCTTCTTCTCAAATCCTGACAAGTTTTGTCCTGAGAGATTTCTGGACGAGAACGGACACGTCATAAAGAACGAAGCCCTGATGCCATTCTCTGTCGGTACGTGAAGCCATTTTAAAGCTGTGTAAAATATCGAATTCTAAAAGGTAACTCTAATTAACCCGATAATTTTTGCTAGGTGCACAGTTTCCGTCTAACAATATTAGATCTTTTTGCAATTCACTAATACAGTCGTAATAGTTAGTCTGCGTTAATGACAAAGTATGTTTATATGCAGGACGGCGAGTGTGTTTGGGGGAATCTCTGGCCAAAATGGAACTGTTCCTGTTCTTCACCAGTATTCTGCAGAACTTCGACGTTAAGCTACCAGATGGTGTGATGGAGCCATCATTTGAAGGCATTTTTGGTGTAACTTGGATGCCTAAACCATATCGTATTCGCATATGCGCACGGGAATAGTAAAAGAATAAGATAAAACAGTAAAGTAGTGATTAATTAGAATATGATATGGCTTCACGACTAATCATTTCACGACGATTTCACATTTTATCACATTATTATATATTCCTAAAAAGTCAGGTTATTGCAAGTGTATGCGTAGAAAAAGAAACAATATATACATGCAAGAACGGCTCGTATACCTGAATATATGCGTAAAATAAACCAATCTTGATGCAACAATGTAATACATAAGATAATGCACCAAATATAAACGCAGGGAATAATCAAACATCAGCAAAATTATTACAATATCATTATTGTATGTGTAAAATGATCTAACGATTCTCTCGTCTTACATCGTATGAATATGCAGATAGTAACGCTAATTACAAAATCCAAATGCTTGTTGAATAAATTGTGAGAGGGGAAACATGAGATTCCAAAGAACAACTCGTATGCAAAAAAAAACATTAAAATACTGCCAAAGCTTTTAGGTATTCTGCAAGATCAAGATTTTCTTGAGAACCAATCCGAGAACATCTTATGGTATACACTTAAATTCGACTAAAGATAAGAACATAAATAACTTAATCATGCTCGTGAATGCCTTCCTATTAGATCGATGGAACATATGTGTTAAAAATAATAACGATAATTGTATAAAAATAAAGAATTTGTCTATTGTTAATTAATAAATTAAAATTGTTGACAGTTTGTTATCAGATATAGGTGACAAAATTAACAGTCAAGCAAACAAAGAGAATGACATACACGCGATTTAAGTACGGACTAATTTAATATTTTCTAATCTCCAACAGATTGCATTTTGTATGGTCCTACACACCATGCTAATGAAATGTCACAACGTACGTATCTAATAAAGGAAACTACGTAATGCTACAAAACAATGCCACCAGAAAATACTTAAATCTAATTATCGTTACAATTATATCTTATAACGCCACCTAAATTGAACATATCAAATGCACTGATGTTACTTGCAGTTCCCGTGATTTGTCCACAATAAGAATAAGCTAAAAGATTTATTTTTACAAATTCTTATACCGTCACCCCATAGCCTATATCCCACCCCATAGCCATGTGTCACCACTAGTTATCATATACAAACTATTATCATAATATGCAACATATATATAATATAATGCATTTAGATTATATTATACACCCGCGTACACGTCACAAATGCACGCGTAGGCCTACACTCGCGCGTACTACATGCTTCACGTCACATATACACAGATACACGCTACATACACATAGGCCTACACACACACACACACAACACAACACACACCACACACACACACACACACACACACACACACACACACACACACACACACACACACACTCACACACACGTCACAAATTCGCAAGTAAAAGCGCGCGCGTACACCCGCGCGCATGCACGGAAAGAGATTATGTTCTCTTATAGCAAAATTGTCTCGATGAGAAGTTAAGCCTTTAAATCTTAAGCCAATTTTAAGTAATATGAAGAAGTAAAGATGATAGTTTAGATATATTTTAAAAAGTTATCATTAGAAATGGCTTGTATCCTGCGTGGCATTCCAAGTAGGAAATGAAATTTTTAGGTATCACCTCATATTAAACCCTCCTCTCCCTTCTCCCCTCCTCGCTATTTTTCCCAGTGAATTTCCCGCCGGGGTCCCTTTTAACCAATACTCTACTTAGCCCCGCCACAGGCCAGCTGATCCTGTCCAAGGTCCTGTAGGCTTGTCGTGCCGTTTTATCGTTCTTACTGGCCTAGCTCGTGATTTCACAAAGCCACCACACTGTCTGCGTCAACATTGATACGCCCTGCAAACAAGTGTCAACTAATATAGGCTTGCTTTTTGGCAGACAAAATGGCCTCGCTTAAGCATCGTTTTCTGGGCGAATGCAGAACGTACTGTTGTTTGGTCCGCCATTGTTTTTATCGCTGCGTTCGTATGGCACTACCTGAGAAGATCGCGCAACCTTCCGCCTGGGCCGCGAGGACTTCCGATCTTCGGGTCAGCTCTCTCACTAGGAGCCCGGCCGGATTTGACGCTAAAGGATTGGGCAAAGACGTACGGACGTGATGAGCGTCTATCTAGGACCACAGTTAACTATTGTGCTGGGTGACGCTGCTTCAACGAAGGATGCCTTTCTCAAGCAAGGCGATGCGTTTTCAGGACGACCTGATAATCCTATAATCGAAGCTATAATAAAGGAAATCATGACGGATTATGACACTACAAGTTATAATCATGGTAGGTAGCTGGCATGAAGATTATTGACTCTTAATGATTATGATCCACCCACTGCGGTTGAGTCTGCTAGTTATAGAATTAAATAATTATAACCTGTCCTAGTGAGCGGCAGCACAAAACAACGTTGACATTATTATGATATATAGGCCTACAGACACCTACGTATGCACACAGACACAATCAGAGACACGCGCGCACACACACGGACGCACGCACGCACGCATATATATGTATATATATATATATTATATATTATATATATATATATTATATATATATATATATATATATAGGTGGTGGGTGTGTGGTGTTTGTGTGTGTGTGTGTGTGTGTGTGTGTGTGTGTGTGTGTGTGTGTGTGTGTGCGTGTTCGAGCGTGCGCGAGTATGCGGAGTGTTCAATATTTGTAAAAATGAATAAAATAAGATTTTATTAAAATCGACACTATTTTTACGCAAGGGTTGGTGCTGTCTACGGGAAAGCTGTGGAAAGAACAGCGTAAATTTGCACTTGCAAAACTGCGAGAATTTGGCATGGGCAAAGTCAGCCTGGAGTTAAAGATCAAGGAGGAAATCTCTATTCTTCTCGTTGCGATCAAAGCCACAAATGGCGAGCCATTTGACCTCCAGGTGAGTAAGTAAGTGCCAGATGAATAGAATGCTGGATTTTGTTTGTTTATAATGACCGTGACTAAGTTTGGTTGATGACAGTGGAGCAGGTGTGTAGGGAAGATAAAGCGGGAAAGGGCAGATCAAGGCAAAGGGCAGATCAAAGGAGAAGGTATGTAACGTGATGAACTAAAGGAGATAGAGAATGGAGCGTCAAGGGGAAGGACATGAGGTGGATGAAGCGGAGACGGTAGCGGATGAGCAGATGTTTGAGAAGGTAAAGGAAGTAAAAGAGACAGGGAAAGTAAAGTGGGGGAGGCCAAAGGAGTCGAGGACACGCGAAGGTGGAGGAGGGAAAAGACGAAGGAAGTAAGTAGATGAGGACAGGAGGTGGTGATAACTGGGGAGTTGAAGCTGAATGAGACGATAGAAGATGAGAGTGGGAAGGTCAAGTGAGAGGAGAATTGGAAAACGTGTTTATAGAACTAGGCTGCGCATTTTACGCACATTATACCTTTACAATTATTAATGAAAGCAGTGTTACACCCCTAAAGGTAGGGGCCACACGAGCGATTTTATCGCCCGATCCGCCGCGAATTTTGAAAATCGCTCGAAAATTCGCCGTGTGCCCGTTCACGTCGACGCCGATTTTAATCGCCCGCACGAGATCGCCCGTATCCAAAATGTTAGAATTTTCGGGGCGATTATTTACGCGCGGCGATTATTTACGCTGGCAAGTTCGCTCGTGTGCCGTGTCGCGGCGTATTTTGTCGCCCGATCGATTTTTCTAAACAATCGGACGTGTTGTTGCATATATCATGTTATGTTAAAATAGGGGCATTAAATTCGCTACGTGTGCCCATTCGTGATCGGGCGATTAAATTCGCTGGCGATTTTAATCGCGCGATCGGGCGATAAAATACCGCTCGTGTGCCCCTAGCATAAGCATTTAAGCTCATGCTATCTAGTCAAGAATTTTGGAACTAATTTTTAATGGATGTCATATATTAATGATCTTGAACGAGACGTCGCGCTACGACACTTAATGTCTTAATTTCAAGGTTAAAAGCTGAGGTCGACAGATAACATAACTAAGGATATTTATGGCGGGATACTCATGTTGTGATAATACCAATATTAATCTTTTCTCAGCCACTTATTACTACGAGCGTCTGTAATGTGATCTGCAACATCATGTGGGGAAATAGATTTGATCATGACGATGAACAATTCAAGATCCTGATGAAAGCTTTAAATGACGAGTTCATCAACTTCGTTTCTACCGGCTTGCTAAATTTCCTTCCGTGGCTGCGACATATTCCGCCCTACCGGAAGCTTATGCAGGATATAATCCGCAATGAAAGGTATATAGATGACACCAGGAGTGAGATTTCTTTTCATTCACTCCTGATATATACCACCACAGTCCATCGTGAAAGAAAGTCATATTTCGAAGAAGTGTTTTTCTTTTTCTTTTAAGAGCTTGTGAGAAACTCACACGTGTATCACGTCCAAAACAGGTCCAGTAGATTGTCTTATCCACCGCCATTATTATTTCTGAAACGATGATATCATCTGTACACTTATACTTTTTTCTAGGCTGATATTTGAGGTTCTTAAGAAAAACCGAGATCTTCACGTGGAGAATTTTGATGCAGATAATATCAGAGACTTTACTGATGCCTACCATAATGAAATACAGATAGAAAAACAGAAGGGCTGCGAGACAACGTTTAAAGGTAGGCGGGGTTCTATATAGTTATAAAAACCATTACATATGACTTTATTCCTCGTTCAATATCAGCTCCACGGTCGCATCGTGTAATTTCAAAGGAATAGAAATGTTAAATTCAGTTCTCCATAGCGAAAATGTCGCAGTAGTCTATTTCGCCATGTAAGAAATCTTAGCGCATTTAGCCTGTCACCATGTTAGCTACTCCCTCTAGCTGAATGTGCTTCTTGGTTATCCCACTTCTACCGGTGCCTCTACATCAATTTCAGCATCAACGTAGTTTCCTAACTGACTTCAAACTACTCTATCTGGAGCCCACTCTGTCCTAGATCAGTGGCCTCTTCCCATGCACTGTCAGGCGCATGTCATATCAGGGCCTGCCTGTGTTCCTTATGTATTGACTCAAGTAGTGAGGATATTAGAGGTTGCGGTAGGATGTGACGTCATAGTATGTAGTTGTAATTAGTGTTAATTACTCGATAGCTAATGACCTGCAGCATGCTTCAGCGACATCAGCGCATGACTGTTGTCATACAATTATATAAGACACACGAGCGTGCACGCATGCATATCACACGCGCGAACACACGCACCCCTCCCCCCACACACATACACACAAGCACGCACGCACACTCACGCGCGCAAATAATGATGATGATGATGATGATGATGATGATGATGATGATGATGATGATGATGACGACGACGACGACGGTGATGATGATGATGATGATGATGATAAGGATGATGACTATGATGCTCATGATGATAGTAGTTAATTATTCAATTACACAAATAAACATTTTATTAAAGATGTAGGAATAACTACTAATCACGTGACCCACTTTCTTAGGAATTCCCAACGCGGTGTTATATGGGCTACATAGTAGTACATAGTATGCTAATGTATTAAAGAGGGTAGGGAACATTCATGGAGACGTGCTCATCATCTGTGTAAACCGCATCGGTTTCAAGAAATGTTATCAATTCTCATTTTAGCAAGACTGATGAGCTCACGAAACATTTTGTATACCGTATTGAAAACTTGTATATGTACTTGTATATATAACATTTTTATCGTACATAAATTAGTTGACCAATATCAGATAGCACCACAAGCTCTGCCATAATCATGGAGTTATACAATTTCCCAGCGAATACGTTTTTATATATAAAAAAAACTTTAAAATTATATTTCAGACGACGAACTATTGTACGTTGTTTGGGATCTGTTTCTGGCTGGAACAGAAACCACATCCACGACCATGCGATGGGCAATGTTGTTCATGTTAAAACACCAGGATGTATGCAGAAAAGTGCAGGCAGAGATAGACGACATCATCGGTAGAGGAAGACTACCAAATATGGCTGACGCGAACAAAATGCCTTTTACGGAGGCGACCATCATGGAAATTCAACGCCTGGGTGAGTTGGTTGTGACACCCAGCACAATACGAGACATCATCGATGAATATCTTTGACGTACTAAGGTGCATAGACTTACCACGAAAAGATATTGCATTTATGCACCAGCGTTTTATTTAGGAACGCCATCTGTTTCTGAACGGCTGAACACAGTCTCTGTCAACATAATTATTGTTACAATGTCTCCATCACCATATTTTAAAGCTGCAATAATTCATTGCCGTTTCTCATAGGTAACATAGTACCCCTTGGTGCTGTCCACGCTACGTCGGAGGAGTCGAGGAAGTGCAATTTAGAGGTTAACACAATTCCAGTAAATACTGCTGTCTGCCAAATGTCACTGCCATTGATTGTACCGGATTCCTGGCTTTCTTCTCAAATCCTGACAAGTTTTGTCCTGAGAGATTTCTGGACGAGAACGGACACGTCATAAAAGAACGAAGCACTGATGCATTCTCTGTCGGTACGTACGTGAAGCCATTTTAAAGCTGTGTAAAATATCGAATTCTAAAAAGTAACTCTGATTTACCTGATAATTTTTGCTAGGTGTACAGTTTCCGTCTAACAAATATATCTTTTTGCAATTCACTAATACAGTCGTAATAGTTAGTCTGCGTTAATGACAAAGTATGTTTATATGCAGGACGGCGAGTGTGTTTGGGGGGAATCTCGGCCAAAAATGGAACTGTTCCTGTTCTTCACAGTATTCTGCAGAACTTCGACGTTAGCTACAGATGGTGTGTTGGAGCCATCATCATTTGAAGGCATTTTTGGTGTAACTTGGATGCCTAAACCATATCGTATTCGCATATGCGCACGGGAATAGTAAAAGAATAAGATAAAACAGTAAAGTAGTGATTAATTATAATATAATATGGCGTCACGACTAATCATTTCACGACGATTTCACATTTTATCACATTATTATATATTCCTAACAAGTCAGGATATTGTAAGTGTATGCGTAGACAAAAAGAAACAATATTCACATGCAGGAATTGCTCGCATACCTGAATATATGCATGAAATAAGCATCCCTTGATACAACAATGTAACACATAAGATAATGCACCAAATATAAACGCAGGAAATAATCAAGCATCAGCAAAATTATTACAAGATTATTATTGTATGTGTAAAATGATCACGATTCTCTCGTCTTACATCGTATGAATATGCACATACTAACGCTAATTAAATAGCCAAATAATTGTTGAATTAGTTATATGTGAGAGGTGAAACATGAGATTCCAAAAGAATGACAACTCGTATGCAAAAAAACATTAAAACACTGCCAAAGCTATTAGGTATTCTGCAAGGTTGCAAAAATATCGAGCAGACAGACAGACACTCACGCACGCGCACGCACACACACACACACCGAACACACACACGCACACGCACACGCACACGCCACACGACACCACACGCACACCCACACGCACACGCACGCCACGCCACACGCACAACGCCACACGCACACGCACCGCACACGCACACGCACACGCCAACGCACACGCACACGCACCGCACACGCACACACACGGCACACGCACACACACACCACACACACACACAACGGTGCGAAACCAATACGTCCGCTACACTACGTGAAGAGGATATAAAAGCCAGCGTTTGCTACATTTTCAAGAATCTAACCCGTTAGTTAGAAAACCGACGCGGCCAAAGCAAATAATTGTATTAAGCGGGTTTGTATTAACCACTTAAACATATATAGCCCGAATTAACAACAGAAAAAAAATTATGGATTACAAGGTGTGTACAAAGTTATTTTATATAGAGTTTATGTGGATAATTAAGAACTTTAGCTAGCGTTAAATGTTCACAAATAGATACATTACTGCAAAGCCTAAACTCCTCATTCAATTTATACAATTCATTACTACAGGTCGCACCCGTTAGTACGAAACTGACGGGCCAAAGAAAAATAATCGTATTTATAGCGGGTTCCGTATACAGTCCGACCTCCTTTATCCGGCCATCCGTATAACCGGAAATCTCTATTAACGGTTGCAATCTCGCAGTGTTATGTTCTTTGTTTTCATTCATTTCCACCTAAAAATCTCGCTGAAAACTCGCTCAAAGCTCACTCAAAACGTGCGTGTGTGTGCGCGCGCGCGCTTGTATGTGTGTGTGTGTCCGCTCGTGTTCCGCTATGCCTCCGGTAAAATGTCATTTATTTCATTTTGTTTCCATTTGATATCCATAAAACACGACAGTTGTGTTACAATAATCATAGCAACGAGTAAATACATTATCACATGCATAAACCCTACTGAACTGCATTAAAAAGGCTGTGTGTTTGAGCATAACTCTCATATCCGGTCAAATCCCATATTCGGATGAGTGAAAACAATGGATTAGAAGGTTGTACAAAGTGTTTTACATAAAAATGAATATACCGGGACAGAAACTGTTATATTGTAACAGGATCCTTGTATTATTGTCTTCGTATCAAGTCAATATTTTACTAAAAGATTACTATGAATCGGGTCGAGATTTAGAGAAATAATCGTAGTCTCATCTGCGTAACGAGCGAATATGGCCGCCCGAGGCGGCAATTTTGCGAATACACTTAAATTCGACTAAGATAAGAACATAAATTACTTAATCATGCTCGTGAATGCCTTCTTATTAGAACGATGGAACATATGTGTTAAAAATAATTACGATAGTTGTATAAAAATAAAGAATTTGTCTGTAGTTTATGAATAAATAAAAATTGTTGACAGTCTGTTATCACATATAAGTGACAAAAAATTAACAGTCAGGCAAACAAAGATAATGACACGCACGCGATTTAAGTACGGACTAATTAATATGTTCTAATCGCCAATAGATTGCATTTTGTATGGGGCCTACGCACCATGCTAATGATTACGATGTCACGATGTAGTATCTAATAAAGGAAATTACGGAATGCTACAAAACAATGCCGCCAGAAAATACTTAAATCTAATTATCGTTACAATTATATCTTATAACGCTACCTAAATTGAACATATCGAATGCACTGATGTTACTTGCAGTTCCCGTGATTTGTCCACAATAAGAACTAGAGCACTCGGAGAGCACAGACCTCCGCCAAGGCAGTTGAATTCTCTCAATGTGAATTTTTTTTATTAATTAATTAATTAATTAAATGGAAAAATTAATTAATTATAATTAATTAAATAATTAATTGGAATTAACAGGAAGTACCGTCCTCTCGCTATTTCTCCGTAGCTATACTCAGTATACCCGATATAGCCAGTATACCCAGCAACCCGGTATACCAGTATAACCCAGTAGCTATATCCACGTGGATTCCGCCGGGGTCCTTTTACCACTACTCTACTTAGCCCGCCTCCAGGCCAGCTGATCTGTCCAAGGTTTGTAGTTATCTGCCGTCTTATCGTTCCACTGGCCTAGGCCACAAGGCCACACGCTGTTCAAGCGTAAACATTGAACGCACTGCAAACAGGCGGCTACTATTGTAACGTTGAATTACCGTTGAATGTATAAAATATGATATAAATCCAAAACTTGTGTGTTAAACTAAATAAACTTTAATAACTTGCACACAGTGTAGTCACATCTTGCACAGAGAGACAAAGACACGCGCACATGCGCCTAAGCGCGTGTGCTTTCTCCCGCGACCACAACCAGACTCCCCGACTCCTACATTTCTGTCCTATATATTACCACCAAAACCCCTACATCCTGAGCGCACATGTCACCCGTTCTCCCAGACCGCGTGCTACCTACAGTTCCACAATGACCCTAGAAACGCCGACCTAAAACACGTGTACCATTCTCCTATACATCAATCAGCCGCACAGATGCGCGACGCTCTGCTACATAGACTACACCAAAACAACCTGAGTCTAGCCGCACTCCGCGTCTCTAACTAATTTATGTAACATCTGTAAATCATATGTTACATTACTCTCCCCTTCCCCAAGACGATGACTACCCTGTCATCGATTCAGCGTCCCCGCTGATCTACACTTCAACTAAACCTAAACAATTTCTAAAATACATATGAAGCATAAAGCTTTTATCAAAACAAGTAACGATAAGTTCGATCACATGCAAGTCAGAAATTTAACACAATTTGGCAGTGAACATATTTGATATCGCTGCAATTAGTCTCACTCTTGCGTCTTTTTATGCTGTAAGGTACGTGGCGTATGCGTATACCGACACGCATTACCGAAACCGTTTCCACCCATTGCTGCTCCATTACATCCTCATTTATAACCTCTTAATCCCATTATTACACACAGCACCGATGTGGGACCTGACAACCTTTGTCACTTCCACACATCATAACAGCCAAAAAAAACGCAAACTGATTTCATATTTCGTTAAATGTTATTAGGCCTATATCGAAGAATGTGTTTAGCAGTCGTGACAATATAGTGTTAAACGTACCGTTACGACAATTTAAGAAAACGATCACAAATATCTACACAAAGTTTCACGCAAAAGATTTTCCCACACAAAGACAAACGGTCACAACCATGAACCACATACGGCGTAATAACAAAGAAAACAGATAAAAATACACATTCCTGATGATGTCACCCTTTCACGTGCAGTTTCGAAGGCACGAGATTAAGCTTTCCACCAATTAAATTCTAGAATGCCCTGTATTTTATTTTTTTTATTTTTAGCCATTACAGTTCGCAATATATCTTCCACGTCTCATGTCTCTGCTCTGGCAGCCTTGCCTTCTACTGTTCTGCTCCTCTCTCTCTCTCTCTCCTCTCTCTCTCTCTCTCTCTCATCTCACATAGGTCGAGACTCGCGACTTGCCTCGCCAGTATCACGGATACAACGACCGGCCCTTCCTTCCTTCACTCTGATTACTCACATAGTTCTCACGCCGTGTGTATCACCGTTCTCTCTCCCCGCGTCTCGCTCTGTTCCTCCCGTCTCGCTCTCCGCCATTCTTCGTCTCTGTCGATCGCTCTCCGGTGTTCTTCGTTTCTCCTACTTTTGCTCCTGTTCGTCTTCTTCCCCTCTCTCTCTCTCTCTCTCTCTCTCTCTCTCTTCTCTCTCATCTCTCTCTCTCTCTCTTCCTCCGTCTCTCTTGCTCTTTCGTCCGCCTCTCCGTTTCTCTCTCTCCAGTTTTCTTGCCAGCGGTGTACCCAGGCGACTCCTCCTGTGGCTTCTTCCTTCTCATCTTCCTTGCGTAGTATGGCCCGTAGATCGACATAACGGGGTACCTTACGTTGCGTCCACAAGGAATACCCAGGTTTTTGGGACTGTCACATGGCCTCCAAAATGTAACGTTGAATTACCGTTGAATGTATAAAAGATGATATAAAACCAAGCCTAAGCGCGTGTGCTTTCTCCCGCGACCACAACCAGACTCCCCAACTCCTACATTTCTGTCCTATATATTACACCAAAACCCTACATCCTGAGACGCACATGTCACCCGTCTTCCCAGACCGCGTCCTACCTCCATTTTCACAATGGTAGTGACTTAAAACACGATGTACCATTCTCCCTATAACATCAATCTAGCCGCACAGAATGCGCGACGCTCCTGGCACATAGACTACCACCAAAACAACCCTGAGTCTAGCCGCACTCCGCGTCTCTAACTAATTTATGTAACATCTGTAAATCATATGTTACACTATAACCTGTATGATACAGGCGGTATGTTACGCTTCACTACTACCTGAAGGTGAAGTGTAGTGAAGCGGAACCGGAACCGCCTGTATCATACAGGTTAGCGGCTACTATA